ATCAACTGAGAAAACAATTGGATAATGGGAATTGGAAAGGCGGTTATGATAAAGATGTGGGATTGAGGCACAGAGACAGGGAGGATAATGTGAAAAGTCGAAATGAAATAATAGATGACCTTCACAACAAGAGAAGGAAAGACGATGCACAGTTAAGGAGGGAGCATGCTGAAAAGGAAGAAATGTTGCATGCTCAGCGAGAAAGTAGCAGTCGTAGAAAGAGAGAAAGGGATGATGTGTTAGATCACCGGAGGAGGGATGACCAAGTAAGAATGAGAGATGATGATCAACATGGTGTTAGGTACAAAGAAGAGGGATTGTTTCAGAGGGAAAGGGGCGAGAGGCAACGAGAGCGAGAGGAATGGCATAGGCTTAAACAATTGAATGAGGATATTCCATCAAAGAAGGAGAAAGAAGACTTGCGGGTTGGAATGAGGAGTGGGCGAGCTACTGAAGAGAAAACATGGGGCAGTCAATCTAGAGGCAAAGATGACCGCAGAAGTTCTGATAAGGAGTACCATTCAAAGGATGCATTGCGGCAGAGTGAGTTAATCAGCAGGAGGGATCGAGCTGAAAATGAGAGTCTTTCACAGCATAGGGGTCGTGAGGAGTATTATGCACATGGGAACCAGCTCAATACTGATGAGAGAAGAGGAGCAAGGCATGAGAGGATGAACACTCGTGATGATCGGGCTGCCAATGTTGAGAACTACAAGGTGCATGAGAGAAAACACAGAGAAAATCCAAGGAAGGGTAAGGAAACTGAGAGTGTTGATCGGAATTCCTTGGCCCGTTCTAGGAAGAATCAAGATGAAATCAGTGCGCAGACAAGCGACATGGTATGTTACATTTCTGAACTGGCTTTTCTTTTTCTTCTTCCTGTTTTTCTGAAGGGATGGGAATTATTGATTAAATAGCCTTGCAGGTATAGTTAGGCCATTTACTGCCTGACTTTCATTAACCAACTTCCCCTTGGGATGATTTCGAATCCTGTTGCCTGCCTTTGTGATTGGATGGGATTGAGTGGTTTTTTTATCTCATTTTCAAGGATTATGTGCTGAATGGTTCTGGATATTGTGACAAAGCTGACCTTGAATACATGAAATGAACATTTTTGGACTTGAGATACTTAGTGGAAATTCATTGGCCGTCCATTCTCTAATAATTGATCATGGGAGGAATGCACGTTCAGTTTTTCATTACTACTGGATTTTGCTTAATGAAGTGGAGATTTTCTAAACTTTCTCATGCCCATAGCTAGACGACCATTTGATGCGTCTTGATGTCTACGCTTTCCTGGTTGACTATTTGTTTTCATATATCCTTTTACTCTTATGGTCTCTGTGAGGACCTTGTTTACTTTTGATCAACTACTTCTTTAGCACTTATCTTGAAACTTAATCGAATATTTTTTCTTTTATTCCATGTTCTCTGGCACAGTATGCATATCATCAATGAGAATTGACTTTTTCATGATTTTTAGTTTTTCTTCTCCCTAGGCAAATCTCTAAATTTTTGGTCATAGAACTGTAACTTCATACCTTTTCTAAGTTTAATTAGCAAATTAGTAACCCTGGGTGTGTTATCCCAAGCGAGACTGCCAATGTTTGTAAAACTTGTATAATCCTTCAAACCATTTTTGTCTAAAGAAGCTTCTGGAAAGCTGATATTTCCAATGTACCATTTAACATGCAATTTCTGTGTATGGTACCATATATTTCCTTGTGATGCACTGCTGATGTCAAAACAATTTTGAATGTCCTTCAATACCTTAATCTTTGAATCGGAAAAGGTGACTAACAGATTTTTTTTTCTTTTATGATCAAGTTGTTATGCATTGCTGACTCAGGCAAAGCTTAGCATAGCAATAAAAATAGCTGGACTGTAATATCTTGTTGAACATGATAGCACTTCTGAGAATGCTTGGCTAGTATTAATATGGTACACATCTAGATTCTTCTTGATCTTCTAGTAGAAGGGATTGTGTCTAGCTTTCAGCCTCTTTGTATGGTTTCATTGTATTTGTCAAACTGGAAATAGCAATATTTGCTTTGACTAGCTTATAAAATGGTAGCCAGTTAATCCCAATGAATAAGCGCGATATTAGTCAGAGTAATTCTTTGTGACCAAAACATCACCATGTGGATACTTCTTTTGCAAGATCTGCTTGTGTCGATTCTATAATGTATCTGTGGCTAGGCAGCCTTCTCCATTGATTGTAGCATGTGGGATATCCCTCGCACAGATCAGAATCATGCTGGCAAGTAAATGGGAAGTACATGTCAAGTTACATCACACAGATGCATGGAAGTATTTGTATCTGTATGTATAGCTTCAAATTTATGATTTTCCTCTTTCTCAGGTGAGATTCAAAGGCAGAATTGAGCAGGGAAAAAGTGAAAATGAGATCCATGTGAATATTCCGCCATCTAAAAAGCATAGGGAAGAGGCTTCATCAGATGATGAAGTGTCGGAATCCAGGAGGGGACGCTCCAAACTAGAACGCTGGACCAGCCATAAGGAAAGGGATTTCAGTATCAGCAGCAAGGCTTCATCTTCCGTGAAGATGAAGCAGCCTGAGGCATACGGTAGTGGCGGGCCTTCCATTGGCAGCAAACTTCGTGATGAAGCTTCTAACCCAGTGGAGGATAAGCAACACCCCTCAGGTAATGAGAAAGATGCTGCCAGTTTGGAGACGAATAACACTGATAAGAAGCCCATAGAGGATAGACACTTGGACACTGTGGAAAAACTAAAGAAGCGAAGTGAACGTTTCAAACTTCCAATGCCGAGTGAGAAAGAAGCCACAACAGTCAAAAAGGTGGAAAATGAAGCTTTGTTGTCTGCCCAAAGTGAAAGTCGTGCAGATTTTGAAGTTAAAGCAGAGCGTCCAGCTCGTAAAAGGAGGTGGACTGGCAATTAATTGCGAGAAGACATTGATTTTAGGTGGATAAAGCAGTTCACTTCGTGGAGCAAATATCTCATTGGCTATCATATTTTTAAATTTGGCACCCTCGTGGAGATGTCCTTCATATGTGATTTGAGTACCTCTTTGATTCAGAGTTCTGTACCTTTCAGCATAGAGGATACGACCTTGTGATGTGCTGCAGGCAGCCATCTATTTCAGTTCTAAACTTTCTGTTATTGTCATCTGAAGTATATGTATATACTGATAAATGTTGACATCATACCTCAGCAAGCTGGGTAATAGAAAGTTTGATAGTGTTTGTAGTTAGTGTATTACTAGTAGCTATTTGTATTGCATGGTCACCTAATGTTCCTGACCATGCCAAGATCGGATCTGGATTGCCTGATGCCTCGGTGCTTTTGGAGGAGAAGCTCTTCATTTGCTGCTTTCCTCAAATTATAGTAAGGGAATGGGAGATACTGCGCAGCCAGAACATGGAGCCGGGGTCTTCGTGAAACCTGTAGGTAGGAGCTCGTAGGTTATTTGAATGAGATTAGATTTTACCTGTTTTAGATTGCAATGTATTCTAGATGTAGAGCCTTTTTGAGTCACAAAGGCAACAGGCTATATAGCGATTCATACATCTTCATTGTGCTGAGACCTCTAATGGACTGACAAACATATCGTCAAAAGCAATATAGAATGCAATATTTAGACCAGTTCGCTTTTTAGCATTGTTTACTTGGGGTTTGCCTGCAGATATAATATCAACTCCGACCAGGTGGTTAACACAACATTCGTAGGGTTGAATTGGATTCCTGCAACCAAACCAAGTTCTTAGTTATGATTTGGGAGTATAAAGTATTCGGCCAAGCTGTGAGATTTTGGAAATGTGATGGTTACCGTGGTGGGATATAAAGTATTCGACCATTAGAAATAATAACGAGTTTTTCCCTTCACCATTGAGTACATATTTGAGAAAGGTATTGCAAATTAGCTGTTGGCTACCACCATAGCTTGTAAGATTTGGTGGGGTGGGAGGTCAACGGTTTAAACGTTGTCTTTCACTATTTGCCACTATATGTGGCTTGTTATTTTAAGTGTTTTTTTAAACAGGCGTACATCCGTCTGGGACGATGGCGATTCAGTCCTTTCCGATCTCTCATTAGTCTTATTCGGGTCCCTCTTCCCTTAGTATAGATTAAGTGTAGGTCTATTGTAAACGTGTAAACAAGTCGAGTTGAGTACAATTTTGACTTAATCGAGTCGAGTCTCAAATTAATTTTACGAAGTTCAAACTTGAGATCGAACTCGATGAATTCAAAATGTCGAGCTCGAGACTCAAATTTGAGTTGAGCTTAAAAAATTTTTAAAAAATAATTAATTTATTTTAAAAAATAAATAAATATTTTATTTTTTTAAAATAAATAAAATAATTATTTTTCTTAACAAATAATAAAATATTAAATATATATATGTAATTTTACTATTAAAATAAAAAAATATATAATCGAGCTCACGAGTCGCTCGCGAGCTAACAAACTTTGAATTTGAGTTCGACTTGATCCGGTCGAACTCGATATTGATTGAATTCGACTTGAACTCGTATTTGAGCGGCTCGCGAGCGATTTGATTCGTTTGCAATCATAGTCTATCGCGTCAGAAAAAAAAGGGAAGGTATTGCAAATTCTACCTACACGGCTTGGCTACAAATAATAATGATGGGATATATTTTTTTTATTTACAATTTGTCTATAACCGAGTGGATAAGATTTGACTCATTATCACTATTTGGCGATATAATATTGATATTGACCCTAGTGCAGCGCATCAGAATTATTAGTGGTGTATGTGAAAAATCATATTTTTTTGTTTAAAAAAAAATTAATGAATGCTCATGTCATTAAGACCAATCTTAGCAACTACACTAATAAATTGAGTGACTAGTGACTAAATTAATACCGGAAAAACAAATGGTGATTTTGGTGCAGAAATAAGCACAGTAATAACTTAGGTGCTTTTTCCTAATTTAGAGTATATGATTTTTAGTCTCATCACTATCTGACTAATATATATATTCCTAACAACTTAACTTACGATGTCGGACATTTATGAAGTAACGATAAGCTTACGTCTTACCTACCTAGTCATGACTGGATTTACGAAGGGTTTGTAACGGACTCCATGAGTTTAGGAGATAGATTAATCTAAAATGCGTGCAATTTAGCCTATGATTTCTACATAGCTGAAATAGGTTCGATTGGCTAGCCCCGTAGTCCAAAAATGTTACATAAACTGACTTGATTCTTGATGATTGAAATACTATTCCGCCCAAAAGACTTCTGTCTGATGAAACTGAAGTCGAAAAAAGATCAGAAACATTTGCATCTGAAACTTTCTTGAGCCGTCCCATTGATTTAACTTGTGCAGGGAATAAAGGAGCAGCATCAACCCAGCTAATAGAGGTCACGGGAAATTTCTTCATTGGGCAATCCATCAATATCAGATGAAGCCGTAAGAGCAGTTTTTTACTTCCAATATTCACTCACGTAATTTGCAGCTATACTCACCTCTATGTTTGTTCGTAATTAAGTTTGAGTTCTACTTTATCTTGAAGTTTTGCTCCAACTTTTCAGCAACTGCAGGAGAGTCGCCCCGTGACGTATCTGGGTTATAGAAATGTCACATGCGTATTAGGTGTTTGTGAGAATGACTGCTTGAAAGATGAGTATTCATAGTTGGGTTCTCTGCCTGGGATCGAGTTATTTAGCTTATTTGGTCTTCATTCCAGCTCTTTTTTCTTTTTTTTTGGTTGGGTCAATGATGATGTCAATAATGAGTAGTAATTACCTACTGCTGACTGTAAATTTTTAGTCTGGCAGTTCATTGATCATTTGTATCAATTTGCTAATCAGTCTACTTTACCATATGCACTTCCTTTACGGTTGTCCTTTGGCTTAAATGTTCATTAAGTTCAATTGAGATTGTTCATTGATCATATTGACTAGGAAATCAATGCACGCAATAGAAATTTTGAAGAGTTTTGCAGACCGTGTTTCTGTCCTACGTCTGTATTTTACGCATTTCAATCTACTTCTTCGTCTAATTCATAATATTCTAATATCAAGTAATTGTTGTCTTTATAACCTAGTGGTGATTTTGTTTTCAAAATTGACAGGAAATCTCTTTGGCACATCTAAACTCCTGCAGCTCTTATAACTGGCTTTGGCGAAAGGGAAACTTTATTCATCGTATTATCCTGGACTTTTGGTACTGCTAAGAACATTGGCCGAGTATTTTACAGATTATAATGTCCTTGCGTAGGCCTCCGCTTCCTCGCCTTCTCCTGAACAATGTCTCTTGCATGCGAAATGCTCAGCAAATACTTCGTCATGTAAATGTTTCTGTTCATGATGGTGGTGCACTTGTGCTGACAGGCACCAATGGCTCAGGCAAAACTACTTTCTTGCGCATGTTAGCAGGATTTTCCAAACCATCAGCAGGTGAGATACTCTGGAATGGTCATGACGTCACAGAATCTGGCGTTTTCCATCAGTACAAGCTTCAGCTTAATTGGCTCTCTCTTAAAGATGCTATCAAAGATAAGTTCACCGTCCTTGACAATGTTCAGTGGTTTGAAGTTCTTGAAGGCAAGCAAGGAAGGTCTCTGCCTGCTTTGGAGCTTATGGGACTTGGACGATTGGCAAAAGAGAAAGCAAGAATGCTTTCTATGGGTCAACGAAAAAGGCTGCAGCTAGCAAGGCTGTTAGCAATTGATCGGCCAATTTGGTTACTTGACGAGCCTTCCGTGGCATTGGACGATGATGGGGTGAAATTGCTAGAATATATAATTGCAGAGCACAGAAAGAAGGGAGGGATCGTCATTGTGGCCACTCATCTGCCAATTAAGATTGACGATGCAATGATCTTAAGATTGCCGCCAAGGTTCCCAAGGAGGATGACTTTAGTAGACATGCTTGATCGAGGTGGATTAGATTGAGGATATTGATATTCCTAATCCAAACATGTGAAATGGTTTATTGGAGAAACGTCATGGATCAAACAAAAATCACAAGTAGGACTTCAGATAAAATGAAGATTCTTCATTAATTGTCACTGTAAGTTTAACATTTATGTACAGAGTTTGTGCTTGCTAAAAGGGCATCCGCATCTTTCATTTAAAGAAAACACAGTGAGACAGAGGCATCTTATTCTATAACGGTCTTTCTTTTGTTTCTGGTTCTATTCTTTGGTGCATGGCCTCTAAATAACCATCCTTGCATGGACTAATCAGAAATCCATCATGCAACACTTTTGTTGCCTTCATCCAACATTTCGTTGTTCATGTTGCATGATTTTAGTCTTCAATCTATATGGCTTTGTGATCATGGCAATAGCATCTTTGAAATCTTGTGCTGCAGAGCCTGTGCTCAAGGAAAACCAAATTAATTCTTGGGAAGTTGAGGATAAGTAGTTTCAGCAATCTGTACTTCATTCTCGCTCTCGCCACAACGCTGGGAAGGTTGGGCTGTTGGGTGATATGTCCAGCATTCCCATTTTGTATCGCATCAGAGCAAAATCTGAATTTGTTAGTGCCTCAATGTTAGATGGGATCTTTAGTTCCTCAATATATTTGCCTCAGTTGCACTAGAAATCAATGTCCGTACTTCCACAATTTTGCACTAAAAGTTACATCGTGTCAAAGATGATGGGATTTACACTTATTTCACTTACTTAACTTAAGATTTAATAGTATGAAAATGCATTCATTTCCTCTGCATTGATATGACATAATACTATCGGAGTGAAACAGGGGGTCTAAAGGAGAACAGAGGTTAGACTATATTAGTAACAAGTAAACCTTTTGTGTGTATTTACAAATATTTGGGGAATAAATACCAATCGTAAGGTCTGAGACGACCCAGAAAGCACTTGATCATATCATGATTAATTTTGTAAGCCTACTTGGGTATTGAGTATTTACTTGTAAGAACTGAATTCTTTGGAATCGATATTTGCAACTCCGGAAAAAGAATTCAGTAAAATTTTTCTTACATTGAACCCTTTATATTATATATGTGTGGATATAGGTAAACTTTAGCCGCACAACTTCATTAATTCTAGAAAAGTTAAAAGCTCTGAATGGAGATTTTGCGTCCGGTAATACATGGGATGCCTTCTCTTATTGATTATCAATTGGAAACTGCTGATAGTGAAACTCAAACCCGAGCTTCTCTTGAACAAGGCGAACGATCTTTACTAGCTGTGGCAACTCTTATTGGCTTTATGGTTAGTCGCTATTCACTCAATAATCTAAAATACAAAACGTCCCAATGTCATAACTGAGGGAGTATTATAATTTTGATTTTGATTCAATGTCCTCAATAATGATAGTTGGAATGTTACAGAAGAAATATGGTCCTTGCAGCATTCTCAGCAAGACACATGTTTGTAGTTGGTTTTGAGTAGGCCTGTCATCGGGTCGGGTCTAGACCCGGATCCGGAGCGGATCCGTGAAATTATTGTGGGTATGGGTATGGATTTAATTCCATTTCCCAGATCCGTTTTGTCAAACAAAAAAACGGGTCGGATACGGAATATAGTATTCCGACCCGTATTAGATCCGGATTCGGATATAAATGAATTAATAATTTAAAATATATATATTTATCAATATAATTTGATTAGGGTGATGTATTTTAATAAAGTTAATTTGATTTCTTTTCTTATTTGGTTTTTTCTTTGCATTAGTTAGAAATTAGTTTACAAATATATTTTTTTCTCATTTTTATTAGAAATTATAAATTTTGATAAATTTGTTCGGGTAGACCAGGATCCGGATCCGGATCCGGGACCCGCCGGATCCGGATCCGGAACATAGAATAAAAGACCCGTCGGATAAACGAGTCGGATCCGAATCCGGCATAGTAATTCGGGTCCGAGCCCGAAATAATGAATTTCGATCGAAACCCGACCCATTGACAGCCCTAGTTTTGAGTGCTTTGGAATCATAAATCTTCTTAGGTAGGACTCGTAATTGTGTATCTCAGGAAAAGTGAGCAGTTCTAGAAATTCTCCAGGAAATGATGGGACGACTTGTCCAATTTGCTATTTCTTGATTGCCGCCAATGCCAATTGGTAACATCATCAGCACCTTTCATATCTCTTGAAAAAGAGAATGATGGACCGGACCCGCCATTGTTCATTTCTTCATCAAAATGGACATTATTGACCATAACCAACCAAACAACAAAAAGTTGTTGCCCGCGGGATAAGGAAACTATATATGACGAGACGTAATTGTAAAATTTATAACTATCAACACTCTCGAGTGTTGACTACATATTTTGATTCCAAATTTCGTACTAGTATTGGATGTTTTGTGATTTTTTTGTGTCAGTTTTCTCAATGTTGCCTTCAAATTTTTTTTTTTAAATTAATACATGTTTCACTCATTATAACAGTAGAATAAAATAGATAAGACTTAAAAATAAAGTAAAAGAAATCAATATAGAAGTAAATTTCTTACTGGTTTTAAAAAATTAGATTGTGCTAGAAACTAAGAGAGGATCTCAAGGCAAAAAAAAAAAAAAAAGAAAAAAGAAAGGGAATCACTAACATGGACGTTAATATAAATTTACTCTTATTTTCTCGAGGTGGCATTTAGGCTTTTTTTTCCTTTAATTTTTTTAACATTAATGGTTCCTCAACTTTGAAAGGTGATTTAACTATTTTTTTGAGTAGGCAAAAAAAGGTTTAAGAATTCTTTTGGGAGAAGAATGATTTAAAATACGTGTATCATCAATACGTGTCCTTAGTAAGAATCTCATTTTATTCTTTTTTTTTTTTTGAAGTTTTAACAACTACTAACAAAGTAAAAAATAAATAAATATAGCATACTACAAAAATAAAATGAAATAATTATTTTTTTTGCTATATTTTGTTTTTGTAGTCTATTGTATTTTATTTCTTACCCGGTTAAGAGTTATTGAAACTTTAAAAAGAAAATGAATTATGAAAAGTGAGACGGGGAAAAATTGAAAAAAAAAAAACACACACACACACACACCGTAATTGGAAGAGATATACGTAATGCCTGCGCAGTAAGAACTAGTGTTCCATTCTCAGTACTTATCGGACCTACAGGCCGCATTATGCGCATGTTCTTCCACTATCAGCAAAAAAAAATTAAGGGAACTTAGTGGTGTTCTTTTTTATTGTTTCAGCCGTCTGGACTCTGAACTAAGTTCAGGCAATAATAATGAAGGAACATTCATGGCTTTGCACTTTCATCACACAGATTTCCCTCTGTTTCTGTGTTTACCTAGCATTTAACATGGGTGACAGAACTGAGAGTAGCAGCAGGCCTGTTGAGACGTACTTTATGAGTGTTGCAGGAGGTTTTAGGCCTGAAAATGAACAGACCCTTCTTCTCAAACTGGTCAGTTTCTCGTAGTTTGCATGGCTTTTCTATTGGTAATAAAGAAAATTTTGTGCTTTTTCATCCCTTTTCATTAGATACCGGGTTTTTAAATTAGAGGTTTGGATTATTGGGTTTGAACTGTTGGTCTAATCTGTTTTATTTGGTGACTTTGAAGGTTGTTTCTTGGCTGGATTTAATTACTGCTTTGTTGTTAGATTATGGCCGAAAGGCATTCTTGTACAGAGATCATTTTCTATTGTTCATCTGACAGTACTATTACTGATAGGATTTTCTCTGTAGTTTTAATATGAATGTTTGTTTATTAGCTGTTCCAATTAAAGCCATCCAATTATGCGGTGAGAGTTTTGCTTTATTGTCATCTTGCTTTTGGTGCTTGATTTGACTGGAAATTTCGATTCTCTGTAATGTTGATGCAGATGGAGAAGGTGGCAAAAGTGTACAAAGTACAATTTGTAGTGAGCATTAGTGAACTTGGGGAAAATGATCCTCTCGGCCTGAATGTAAGGCATGACTTTTTAATCGTTTAATGCACCTTTATGCTGGATTGTTCACCCAGTTCGAAGTTACCTAGATAAGCACAATTAGGTAAAATTTGCTTGGTTAGACGTGTACATATTGAAAAAATGACAGGCAATCAATAAACTCAATACAGGAATCGGCTAACATTAGAAACTAGCAATGGATATTTTCTCAGTCACCTACCTACCTGTCTCCTGCAGAAAAGATTACTGTTTTTGATATTGCTGTAAATATATGTACTAATGGTGGAACTGATTTCGTTGCTGTTGTAATAAATTCTACTTCTTCTTCAAAGTACGGTTTACTCTTGTGAGGAACGGTTGTTTGTAGTCACCTACACCTGATTTATTTGTGCCAAATAGTTTCATGAATCTGATAATTTGTGCATGGTTCATCATCTCTTGAAGTTTCCTCATATATTCCGTTCTGTAGAGCAAAATACATTTCATCTTGAACTTGTTCTTTTGAAGTATCCTTGTGGTAGCAAAATTTAGTTTTTATAGCAAAAAATTACACCAGTCACATTATGGGTCTGATTGGGATCTCATCAGTTATTTAGGATCTTGTTTTACTTGGTAGTTTTAGCTATAAGCAACTAAAATGCATTTCTTTCCTAACAGGCCACGTGGTATTTTCAGTCTCTAAAACTTCCCTGGTATACCATCCTTTACCATGTCTGACTTTGGCAGTCTTAGTTGGAGGTTCAAATTTGTTTAAAGTCCTTTTTCCCAATTTCTCTTCAGCTGCTGTAACTTGTAGGTACACAACAAAATCATTCAAAGGACAAAGACCTGGTTCCTACCTCAAGCATACAAAAGTTCAATATGGGAAAACCTTAGATATTGTAATTGTGAATACAGAGTTATTTCAGGTATGAATCATGCTTAACACATGAACTTGAATATTCCCTTTCTTGCAAATAATAGTAGTCATTTAATTTTCTGATGTATCATTAAAAGTCAATTGATGTTGAGGGTACATGTTTTTGGTTTGTTTGATTGGGAACAGTTCGTATACTAGCAGGGTCAAGGTAGGGTTGGCAACCCTTGACTTTTCAAATAGTGCTTTCTAGTTCTTTGAATCTACTGTTGTGTTTAAGGGGTATACATCATAGAAATCTGCAGAAGATCCTGTCCGTAATTGGTGGCCCCAGTTTCTGTGCTAGATGCATCTATACTATGAATTAGTTTCCCCATTTCAAGATTTTGCCTCCATCCCTGTTTTCAGTGAAACCATTTAAGGACATTACCTGAAGTGTACAATTTTGAGACATGGTTTTGATGCATGGTTCTGATGATGAATTGAAATGAAGAAGAAATACCATGTGCAGGAATGCTAGATGCATGAGCCTAAATGATACTCGAAACGTGTTATTCTCTTCGGAAAATAGATCATATAAGAACCTGGAAATCTCAAGGAAAAACCAAGTTTCCCAGTAAGATGGACATGGAAATTATCAAAGCTAAGGAGAAAGTGGCTTAAGTAGCATTTACTTTTGTCTTACAATTGCCTGGGGATTTGGATTTGATCTTATTCTTTCTTTACTTGAACATAATCCCACCATTCACTTTATACCTTCTAAACTTGTTTGGTTTTAAGGGGAGTTCAATGTACTAATTAAAAGTTCAGGTCAATATGTATAAATGTTCAAATTCGGAAGCAAAAAGCCTACATTCAAGAGATTACATCACATGGTAGGCATTGAAAATGTTCAGTTTCGGAATAAAGAGATGCCTATATATATTACACATAAGCGGTTCTCTTGCCCTCTCCAAAAGCATGGTTCGCAATATGTTTCAGTATCGGCTGAGTTGTAACCGGAACAGAGGGGACCGGTTTTATACCCATCCCCGAATCGCGAATATCACTATATCCACGACGACTCGCTCTGACTCGGCCGATATTGGCCGATTCAAATCCGTGATGCATGATATCGGCCGATATATCCAAGTCAACTCGGAATTGACTCAGATTTTTTTAAAATTGTGTCTTTTTTTGGTATTTTCTAATTTTAGTAATTTTTTAAAAATTTTTGGAAACTTTCATGTGCTATAATGTGCATATCACCCAATATTCAACCGATATGCCGCGATGGATGTGGAACAACCAAGACCGCGACACAACCGTGACCCGCGATGGCGAACCATGCCCAAAATTATGCTCCACTGTAACTGCACAATCCCTGTTATTAAGCTCTTCTCATCCGTCTTATAGCCCCGCATTTATGAGTTTTGACAGGTTTCCTAGAACTAGATTTCACTTGAACCTTTTTATACCTAGGTCCCACCCTTTTGGCAGTCCTTGCCTAATGTCATAGATCAGCTTGAGTGATGAAAGAGCTACTATGTTTTGCTCCGTACTTGAACCAGCTAATTGTTAATCTTGTAATGGTGTCCGCAACTGTTAAATGAATAAGAAGAGAAGAAGAAACATACTTCCATTTCCTAGTGGACCATTATGGTCCTTAGCTGCATACTTCACTAACTATTTTCCTGCACTCTCGTTTTCATTACCTCTTAACAAACTTGTATTCTCCAGGGCCCTTCAGCTGGTGCTATTGAGCATCAGTTACTGTGGCTCATGAAGACACTGGAAGAAAGCACCAGTGACTGGTAAGCTATAGCTGGTAAGATATTTATTGGAAATGGACAAAAATTAATTTAATGTGAACAATGATGTGGCTTATCTTCCTGGAAATAAGATTGTCAACTTTGGAACCAATTTCAAGGGTAAATGAAAAGTAGCTTTTTTCTTCTGAAAATTTTTTGCGCAACTATTGTGTAGCTTAGTTGTATGACTATGCAGTAAAAGAATAAAAAACCAATGGTCTAAAGCTTAGAATCTTGCACTACTTCTTAAAGAGGATTACATTTCTTCTTTCAAGGCCTGTTGCTACCTTCCGTGGCAGCTTGCTCCATACTTTTTACATTCAACCCACTGTCAATTATTAACATCTTCTGGTTTGCTTTTTGGTTTTCCTATTGGGGCAAAAGGCGCATTGTTGTTGGTTTCCACCCACTGTTAGCTTGTAATGGAAGTACGGAAGCTAAAGACAATCCTCTGTGTCTTCATGAAATGTTTTTGAATCATCGAGTGGTGAGTGGTAGTTTTGGCAATCAAATTCTGTCCATAGCATTCAAATAGTAAACCTTCAATGCAAACACCTATTCCCAAAATTCCTGACATAACTGAATTCAAAGGCCCATACTTCTCTGATGTTTCATGTATCTTCAAGCTTCCTCCTGAATCTCCTGAATCTTTGCATATGAACTTTGTCCTAGTAGGACGCTTACCTCAGTGGCCATGCTTGTACCGAACATGTTCACAAACAGAGTGCAAAACAGCCTGGTAATGCTGATCAACCGGGCAAAGGACCTTGTCTTACTCCAATTCGTAGGATATTTGATCAAAACAAGTGAGTGCTTCATCCTTGTTCTAATCTTCTAAGGTGATGTTTATGCCTGAAGCATTATTGATAACCATCTTCTACTGTTTTGTATCTTTTCCAGGGAAAAGGTGAATGGTTTGCTTCTACACAGAGTCAGTTCCCTAGAACTGGTGAGTGTTAACATGTTATGATTTGTCCTTTGAATAATCTAAATTTTGAACTTCTGTAACCTCCAATTTTTTTTTTTTTATAACAGGTAACTTATTCAATAAACTTGGAGGGGGATGTTGCACACAAGATTGAACTTCAACAAAGTGGTAGAGAAGCCATGTGATGTGCTCAAAGACCTTATAATCATCCCAAAGCCTTGGTGCTTGTTTTGCTCTACCTTTTGTCTTCTGTATAGATTTTCAATTATTTTCATAATTTTAAATACCATGTCTTTGATCTCTTTCTGAGTTTCTGGCTTAACAGTAACAATCTTTGATTTGGTTCCTGAGGTACCATATTAGGTCCTGCAATTTAAGCATACTGAGTGGTACATTTGCTGGAGTTGTTTCTTGTACCCTTTATGAGAGGCTTGTTATTCTTGCGTCTGGTCTTTGTGGATAAGGTCAGGAGATACACATCCTTTCCACTACCAATTGATATGCTAAAAGTCTTCCCTTTCCAAGATATGCAACCATGAGCAAGTCATTCCTTCCAAGATAAAGTTTTGAGCACTCCTATTAACATGACCTTACAGAAAACGGCTGAATTATATGGGTAAAATTTTTGCATGTTGCCCCCTTATATACCAAATAACTTTGAAGAATCTTGATTTACAAAGCATGTGAATGAACGTTCTTTATTCGAAACTGTAGAGAGATAGAATTTTCACATAGTCGACCTTTTGTTTTCTAGTCAAGTCCTACAAATTTATTCACTAGTAAGTTGTAAAATTCTAAAGTTGTCTTGACATTATCATTCCGATGGGATTAGAAACTGGGCTGTACAGTCTTCCAGTCGCTTTATTTTTCTATACATACGTGTTAATCGCCTTGCTTCTAAGTTACTCTTGAGCGTATGTTGGTTTTGGCCGACTTTAATTCTTATGTATGTGAACTGTTCTACTAGGTGCGGTTTTGGTGATATAGAATAGAGCTGGTTGCCTTCCAAAGGGCCTTGGTGCAATTCTTTCTTGATCTTTTTGTGCCATGATCATAAATCTCCGACAAGTGGAATTAGTCTTTCTAGGTATTCACTTGTTGGATTGTAGAAATTGATCCTAGGGTCTCCCAATTGTCAGGTTCCATAAATTGTAGAGAAATGATCCTAAGGTCTATTGTTGGAGAAATTGATCCTAGACTATTTTGTTAAATTTTGTGTTCAAGAAATTGATCATTGTCTCCTGTTGAATTTTGGAGTCCTCGAACATCGAATATACTGGGGTTCTCAACTTCATAAAATTTGCCTAATCAGCAAATCGGCCAAAGATATCAAGGGAGGGATCCTGTAGAGATTATACTCGAAGTTATATTGTGTTTGGTGTTGAACAGTTGTCTAAGTTATTGGTTGTGCTCGCCTCGATTAAGCCATCTGCCAAGTGACACCCAATCCAATGTATGAAGTTGGAAGGGAAGGCGGCTATGAAAGGGAGGCGAAGCAGAGTTGACAACTACCCGAGATTGATCCTCTGCACACCGAGTCATGGCACTCACATTGATCCTCAGCGCACCCACGAAGAGGAAGCCTACCTTGGCATTGAAGACAATTCTTGGGATAGAGTGATAGACTTTTTGCCAAGAATCCGTTGGATATCAGTTTACAGTTCTATGTTTTGTTGCTAACAGGCGACTAAAGGAATGCATGATACTTCAATGGCCCCAACATCAGGTGCCTTAGAATATGAGAAATGGTTGAGCTGCTTTATGGGGTTTAATCTGTTTAAGAGGCATCGGCAAGGCGGTGCATTTTGTGTACCTTGGAAGCACAACATCCAGACAGGTATTCAAGCTATTCACGATGCCGTGCAGATGAAAAGAATCATACCATGTGACCGGAAAAGCATTTTCTGAGAAGAAGATGTCTCCTGCTGAGAGTGGAAAGTCATGAGATACTCAGGATTTGGAAGCCTTTGGTGAACTCACTAGTGTTACTTGGGTTCATCAATAACATCAGGTGGTTTTACATAGAGGTGGCAATATGGATAAATGGTTCATAATTGGTTTTGACTTAACGGATGGTGGATGAAATTTATCCAATCCATTTAAATCCATTTAATAAATGGATCTAAATGGATGGATCTAAATGGATTAAATAAAAACCAATTATCCATTTATAATCCATTTAAATATTTTCATAACTTTTTTTTTTGTCAGATCCTTCGGTATGAAATAGCTACTTTGGGCCCTGACTAATCCGGAGTTGAGCCAGGTTGCACCCCATAAGAGGCGCAAGCTCTCCCCATAAGAGTTGTAGTGCTTCTAGTAAAAATGCATTTTTAGGTGCTAGAGGCAAAACGTTTGGTGAATATCATCCCATAAAATTAGGAGTAAAAATTTTTGTGTTAAAAACACTTTTAGCAAAAGGTTAAATTTGGTACTTTTATATTAGCTTTTGTGATTTAAAAAATAAAACATTGAATTTAATCATTTTATCCTATATTATGAACTAAATAAAGAGATAAATACATTTAAAATTTTTTAAATTATATATTATCCAATACAACAAGTATTTATTGAACTATATCTCCAAATAATATATTTTAAAGCATTTAAATACTTACTTAGTATTTTTATTAAAAACTCTATTAAAAAATTATTTTTTAATAAGTTATTGTAACTCGCAACAGGCCCTTAGTAGAAGGCAAAGAACATGTGATTATTAAGCAATTAAAGGGAAAAATCTACAAAAAAAGAAAAAGAAAAAGACGAAAATATACTGAAGGAAGTACAAGACAATAACAAAAAAAGACCCTTCTCAGATTTAACAAACTCATAGAGGCCAGTTGTCAATATTTTGGCTGTGTTTCTAGCTCCACTTCTTGTGAACGTGATGATGTTCTCTAGTTTTGTGGGCCCACAACAATGACGCATTCTGGAAGGAAGAGAAGAAGTTATTTGTGAGTCCTGGGTCCGTCTTCCCATTGCATGCTATTTTGCTAAATGGATTTATATGGATCAAGTGGATAAACCATGTAAATCCATCAATTTAATTGGTTTTAAATGGTTATCCATTTAAAACCATCACATTTTTGTTAGTCATCCAAATCCATTTAAACTTGGTTTATATGGATGGATAAATGGATTTGAATCCATTTTGCCACCTCTAGTTTTACATAGAACTTTCCTCAGCATGAATTCATGCAGGATTGTCTTTCTTTGACAGTCTCAAAACATTCAGCATTGGTCTGCTGTTACTGGTGATAACATTGTACTAGTTAAATATTTGATGGAAATAAATATCCAAAAGAAGAACTTGTTTTTTTTTTTTTTTTTTGAACCATGTGAGCGTTGCGTCCTCATGAATGAACGGATCATCAATGTGATTTAACTACTCCAACTTCAATTCTCCACTTCCTCCAGATGGAGGAGCCTTAGGATTTACTTATTAATGTGCTTTAATTAGTTTGATCTAGCATGTTGAAGTATTATTTGACCTTTGCAACTGTGTCCAAATTTATTGAGTGGTTCTCTGCCTTGTGTTTGAAGGAATGCGAGTTCAAATTTTCCAATCAACGCCTTTCTTTCTTCTGTCTAATTGAACTCTGGAAAATTTCCCAAGATTCTCACCGCATCTGTATCCTACCCTGCGGTGTAATTATAAATACAAACCCCATATAGTTTCACGTGGACAATGATCAATCAGGAACGTACTTTTGTGTTCCATTTCTGAGAGAAATCCTTCACAGAATCGAACTCATCAAAAATTCAGAAAGCCCCATCTTCTGAGTCTAGCACCAAAAAAAAAGTAGTAATTCGTCTCAAACAGTTGATCAAGAAAACCAAACTTGAATCCTCTTATAAAAAGCATCCATCAAACATCTTAAGATGCTGAAGGACAAAAGATTGAACCCCTCATCTTCCAATCAATATTCAAGGACATTTCCTTACAATTGCAACAAATCAAAGACTAATAGCAGGAATTGCAAGAACTCTGTGGAAAGTAGTTCTGCTCAAAAGAACCAGGAATTCATCTGTGACACAAGCTACCTCCATTCGAATTGCTTTGATCAGTTCTGTAAATTGCATGGGTTATCGCCATCAAAATCAACTTCCATTGATCAACCAAACGGGTCTTTTCCTTGTGCAAACAGACGGGTTCTTGAACTTGTGTGCCCTCTTTCTCGGGGAAACATCAGTGGTTGGATTGTGGTACAAGGTGCTCGCACGTACATGAACTCGGGAACACGGGGTTGTGCTCTGGAATCTTGTGATTTTTCTGGGAATTATGATGAATTAAGGAAACATGCTAGGATTCAACATCCATGGGTGAGGCCCAACGGAGGCAGATGACGAGAGGCGGTCTGTTTGGGATCGTTTGGAGCAGAATGATAATAGGCAGTATGAATTTATGAATCAATACCTCTACAATGGAACTTCCACCTGAATCCATATCGAAATTACCAAATTCAGACACCTATCATGTCACCGTATGATAGGATTGCTGAAGTTCAGTACACTACAACTCTTACTTACTGAAGTTTGGCAGCAGGATGTTCGTCGAAGAAGTGTTCAAGACATTGCAGCTGGAGTACAAATTGCAATTCTAGGTCATTTTATTAGCTTGTAGAGACACCCAAATATATTCTGTAAAGAATAGTTATACCTAATAACGTATTTGTATTCTGCAATCATCCTTTGTTTTTCCCCACTAGAGAAGGAAAGAGTGAATTAGCTAAGGCTCTCATAGGCTACACCAGAAACATCAGGAAAACAATTTTACCCTACATCAGTTGGTCACTTTGTCTTTGATAACATTCTTGTGGAGTGTGAAATTTGAAGCTTCAAATCTCTAAACTAAACTACCAAAACTCTAGATATGCAAACAGAGAGACTACCATTAGCCTATATTGCTGTCCTCAATATGTCCTTGAAACGAAACCTAACAGCAAAGGACAGCAATAAAGAACAATCAGGCTCTGTCTTCTTTAAAAATGTAAATGGATTTTGCTAATTTTTCACTACATATTGACATCATCTCTCTTCAGATATACCACAGTGCAAATTATCCAAAGTGACTTTTAAAGATCCTGCAAATTTTCGAAACTGAAATTTGCTGCATTTAGTAAAATGCTACCAAAATCATGCAACACACCAGAAAGGGGGAGGGGGGGGGACTCAGGAGAGAAACAAAGCACACCTGATGTTCAAACTTGACCAGAAGTTGTATTGTCAAAGCCCAAAGTGTCCTCAGAGATGTTCATGCGATACCATTGAAGCAAACCGTTATAGCAGCAGGGTAATTAAAGCAAAGCATAAGTCCATGTGCAAAACCAGTAAAATTAATATAACAAAGATTGCTGCAAAATGATTGAAGAGTGAGATACGTTAGTCTTTAGTCTCCTAATTAGGATCTGTCCATTGAATAATCCCCTTTCAAACTACCAATATATGGAACTCAGATGTGCTTATCTGTCCCGGAAATTAATCAATGCATGACCAGCATCAACTTCCTAAGACCAAAATTGAAACAGAAACCGAATTATATCAAACAAATCATGGTTGACTGCAGATTCTGCTTGTTGAGCCCCAAAACATATGGAAAACTAGTACCAAGACAGTAGGAGGTGGGAAAATACTCTTTTAACTGGTCTTTAGCCCTAACGAAGATGGTCACTAACATGACAAGGGGGTAAAAGTCAAAATTAATGTTTCATAACAGATAATTGCTGCATAAAATTTCTTGGTTGCTCCTGGCTTAATGACTTGATGCTTCTAGGTCCATCAATGTATTGTTTCCAATGGAATTCATCCACCGACAAATCAACATACCACAAGACTGAAACAAAAACAATCGAGTAATTAAAAGATACAGAGAAGATACATACAATGATCAATCAGGCTCAGATCTGTAAAAGGTGGAGGCAAAATGGAGGGAGACACCGCCATGGCTGCAAATTCCCAGTTACATATGCGGATGAGACCCATCTCATCCCACACGCCATCTGGGTTGCCCAGCCAAGATACGGGCTCGAATTTACCTCCATGAATTTCGCCATCAATAACTCAAGAAAGGATTTTCATCGTCACTGCCCGGAAATATACACAAACCTCAACGCCCAAATGCAAAAAGGCATCAGTAATTATGACTACACAGCAGAGCAGCAGCAGCAACAACAAAGAATTAAGGTTGGTGATGAAACAAGCACTGCTATCTCAGCAGATCTTTCAGAAATAATCTCCAATCCAAACAGGCCTCGTTTGATAACATTTCCAGTTTCTGATTTCTGCAAAGGGATGTTAATTTCTTTCTTTTTTCAAAAAGAATTGCCGAAATCATAGGCAGGAAAACAGAGAGGGGCAACAACCCTTTAGAAACTCCCCAGCTCTCTGCTGCCTCATTCATTTTTCCTTCAGTTAATGGTGGCAGTGCAACCATCAGACTTCAATAAAAGTTCTCCAACTTTCATTTAAGCTGATTGATTGGGCAAATGACGGTTACGTCTACGGTGGAAAGTTCACTTTTCTGCCCATAGTAGGCAGAAGCAATGCAACGAGGCCAATTGTGCCATGTGGGAACGCACAAAGAAGGACATCCGGGCACCTAAGAAAACCGGTTGGGCCTGGATGAAAAACGTAATACATTTTAAAATCACAATAGAAGTTCTCTTAAAAATTTATTCATCCAATACTATATTTGATAAATTAAAATAGTTAATTAAATATTCTATTATAATATAAATAACTATATGTCATTGAGTTGATTGAATAATATTTTCTTTTTCTTTTTTTTTTTTGGTATTTCAACTAGTTGTCAATTAAGTTTCAATTGAAATAAATATTTTATAATTATTTAAATTATTCAATAAAATTATCAATTTAAGATGAACATAAATATAATACATTAAATTTTATTGTTGAAATATTTGATTTAATATAAAGGAAAGCCAAGAAGAAATAGCAAGAAATTTTTTAAAAATTCATGTGAACCCTCTATATTGGTAATCACCTTTACTTGTTATTATAATCACAATGCCTAACCATAACCAATTGAAACTCGTACGCACAAGTCATACAACAATTTGTGTTATACTGTTTACAATTAAAGTTACTATACGCTCAAATTCAAATTCTCTTTTTTCCACTAAATTTTCTTTTATATATGATTTATGTGTTATTATTTATTTGTAATTAATTTAATGAAAAGATGCTCTTTAGGCTAAATGATATGTTTCGATAATGTGGATTACTTTTAAGGATTTTAATGAGATTTAGAACACATTTTTTATGAATTTAATCTAATTCACATTTTATTTTATTTGAAATATAATTATTTAAAATATAAGGGACCATATTGAACAAATTTTCAAATATTAGAGACCAAAAAATATAAAGTCAAACTTTTGACTAATTCTTACTTGATTTTGACCGTTAGATATTGTAGTTTTCTATTAGTTGTCCTAAATTTGCCTAAAATAAAAAATTTGGGACCGTATTTATTTTGGTCAAAATATCAAGGGCTAGTTTAACTCATAGACCAAACGTTAGGGGACCAAAATTACACATATTTCTTTATTTTAATCATGTTTGATATCCCAACTTTTTCTTTTATATTTATGCTTCAATTATTTCAAATATTAAACTCAATTAAAATATAAAAACTACCACAATATTTGTTTTGACATGTATAAAATTTACTAAATAATATTAAAAATTTTACCTATTTTTTGTTACAACAATTTCGTCTACCTTTTCGTACCTTTATTTTTCACGTTTTTTTGACATTCACTTTTTCGCTCTTCACTTTTCATTGGGACCTGCATCTCGATTGGAGTGTTCACAAAATATTTTCTAAGTAATGGGTATTAGATAATGAACAAATTTTTAAGAGAACTTTTATCATAATTTTAAAATGTATTGCATTATTTTATCCAAGCACAACCGGCGCTTTCTCCCGTGCCCGGTACATCATTTATCTGTCCGTCTTTGTGCGTCCCACAGAACACAGTTGACCTCCTTGCATTGGGCAAAAAAGTGAACTTTCCACCGTAGGCGTAACCGGCAAATGACCAATGTAGTCGGTAGTCCTCCAACTTTAATGAAAGTTCCAGTTCTTGAGATTTCCGCCAAGGGCCTTCCTCTTTTTTTTTTTTTTTTTTTGACACCCCTTGGAAACTCCCCAGCCCCTGCTGCCTCATTTTTTATTCGTGTATTCATTTTAATTTCAACCAGTGGAGAGCACGAATTCTGAGACAGTTTTAGGAAATCAAAACAAGAACAATTTCCCAAACACGGCCCAAGTCCAAACAAGATTTAACAAAACATACCACAGGACTGAAAGTGATATCACCACTACATTTTCATTCTACCTCAACTAAAAAGAGATGATGCATTCACTTGCGTAGCATCACAGAGAAAGAGCTCATGCACTGACCCAAGTAACATCAAAGAAAAATAGCTCAACCATACCACACAAACATAAATGTGATCATTTGATCGTCAAAAAACCTAAGCTTTCACTAGCTACTATCTAGCTTAAGTAGGCATATTACTCGAGTTCAGTCTTGTTTGGATTGCTCGTTTCTGTCGAAAAATATTGTATCGAAAAATATATTGAGTTTGTTTGGACAGGATATTATTTGGATGATTTATTTGAGATATTTACTGTAACATTTTTTATGATGTGATGTATGTGAGATAAAAAGGTGATTGGGATTTGTGAGAATAAATTTTGCAAACCAAATTATCTTTGTCCAAACAAACTCATTGTCATTTTCCGTGATTATATTTTCCAATCACCTTTTTCTCTCACATATATCAAATCGCTACAGTAATTTTTTCATAAAAAATGACGAAAAATGCAATCCAAACACAACCTTAGCTTGCAAGCCAGAATTATAGAGCAATAAGCAAGTTTGGTAGCCAGAAAATAAATTATCTTCCCTAGTGCCGATCAGATATTTCATTTTCTTGGGTCAAAATACTGATAGAATTATAGCATTCAAAAATTGAGTCTAAAAGCACGATAAAACATAGTAAAAATGTCGAATGCAAACTAAACAAACTGATTCCTTTCGGGAAGTTGAGAGAAGACAGTAAATCATCATGTACAGTTCAACTAGGCTCAGATCCGCATCAAGAGGAGGCAAAATGGAGGAAGACACCGCCATGGCTGCAAAAATTCCCAGGTGCATATGAGAATGAGAAAATCTCAGCTCACATGCCATCAGGGTTGCCCAGCCATGATACGGGTCGGATGAACTCCGTGCCCCAACAACAACAACAAACTCAAGAAAAGATTCCTGCAATCATCACAGCCTGAATATTACTGAAGTCTCAGAGCCTTAAAAGCAAAAGAAAAGGCTTTATAGATTATGGTTGTGGAATAATACGGCAACAGCGACAGCATCAACGATATTCTAAAGCAAACAAGACAGATTTTTGAGAAATAACCCAAAACGGTCCTCGATTTCAAAACACAAACATCACCAGTTACCAAACGCACCCGGGAAACAACATGGTTCTTTTCAGCATCTTGATTTTTCTGCAAAGGGCTGTTTAAGCATGTATTTTTGGGCAGGAAATCATCGGCAATACAGAGAGGGGCAACAACCCTTTAAGAACTCCCCGGCTCTCCGCAGCCTCATACATTTTTCTTGAGTTTTGGCTGAGGCCTGAAGCCCTCAGATCAGATTATGAGTGTGTTTGGATTTAAGATTATTTGGGAAACCATTTTCCGTTTTATTCACAGACAAGATCGAAGTGACCCACTTCTATCTTCTTCTTTTATTAGCTAATTAGTGCTGCAGCAGAGAGAGCTCGAATCACGAGTGGAAAGTAAAAAAAAAGGAAACAACATTAAAAAATAAAAAAGGGAGGAAAATCTGGAAAATGAGGATGGGAAGATTCAATATCCATTAAAAAAATTTGCAAATGGTGCATAAGTTATGGTTCAGGCAATAATTACTAAATTTATTCTTAAATGATTGAATAAGGCTCAAAGTGATGTGCCTTTAAAAAAAATTTTGCAAGTTGATAAACAAAACTATGCATCCATGTAAAAGTGTGCATTTTGATATACTTGACATCTACAATATACAGATACAAATTTGCACAAATAAGCATATGCGCATCAATACAAACATGCAATTTGGTGAATTATGTGTACACGTCTGAATATATATATATATATATATATATATATATATATATATATATGGTCATGTGTATATGCTAGTAACCTATGACATATTTACAAAATTCCGAAAACTTATAGCTTTCTTATGAATGTTTAATCTTTCTTATACCTGGCAATTGAGCGGATTGATATTGGATTTTCATTTAAATGGGTTACATCCAATCCACTCAACTTTATATTGGATTAATTCTGGGTTGGGTCATATTGGATTGTCTCAAATCCATGACCCAAATATGATTCAATATATTAAATAATAGATTTTGATACATAAGCTCTCTCAAATATATTTTCACATACAAAAAAAAAAAATTCACACACATAAATACATATTCACATAGATAGATATATTTTCACACACTCAGTTTTTAAGTTCTTTTGAAATACATTGTTATTTTTACACATACAAACACACTAAAATACACACTAATATACTTTTATAAATACACACACATACTAACTGTTTAAACTACTTGGACTCAATCACACTTTAAAGAAAATTATAAACTGAATTTTTGACCCAAAAAATAAACACAAAAGAATCATGCATGATAACACATCTGAACAGTTGTAAAATGGAGAAATTAGAAACATCTAAACAATACACACATTAAGGCGCCTGTATCTCACCTTGGGCTGCCATTGGATTTGTATTGTGTAGCAATTGGACACCGTTATGATCTTATGTTCCCAGTGCACACAACTCACAAACACCAACATTTAATAGTCATTAGGTCGCATCCCATCGAGCCGTTACAAGGCTTTAGCCACATGAGATTCCCGCTTGCTAAAACTAAAAGCCTACATGCGGATATGATCTTGTTTGGATGGTCAAGATTTCGTGCACTGGGGTTACACCTGATTATACGATCTGTGGGACCCCACATATTGGGAAAGTCGTTGACTTAATAGATCAACTCCTGCGTGCGTGATCATGCATTTTGTGTTTAATTTGTTTAGTTATTTTTTAATTTAAGTTGGGTGATGGGTACTCAACACAAATACCCAAACCACCCAAAATATGTATGAATTTTTATTACCCAATCCAAAATTGATCCAATACCCAATTTACCCAACCTAACCTCTCAAATTAGTTGGTGAGTTAGGTGGGTTATTGGATTTTGGGTATAATTGTCAGGTCTCAAATATATTAGATTTTGATTCTTCCCGTCTTCTATTTCACAAATCTTGCTATGGTATTCTTGAAAATGCGAGAAGAAGCAATTATAAGTAACTCCTTGAAGATAGACTGAAAATACAAAATTTATAACAATTGATTGAAGGGATAATTTTAGAAACCTCAATTGAGGTTTCTGATAATTGCAACCATCTTCTCTAAAGTTTGAAAAATTATAAAAACCTCCCCTACAAATTATATCTTGGTAGCAATCGATGATGCAAGTGAAAAAAATCCAATGAATATCCAATATTACCCCACTCTAATATGTAAAACAAATTAAATGCTAAAAAGTCAACTATCACCATTATCCGATGGGTAAAATTTCAAGTTAGTATTTTGTAGGAAAATTTAAGACATGTTTTAAAAGCATTCCTTTTTAGTACTTTATACTTTTTTTGGTTAAGTAATTTTTGAAAATACTTATTTTAATTAATGCCTCCCTAATTGGTTGGTCAAATTTTTGTAAATTGATTAACAAATCTAATTAAAAAAAATGGGAATGAAGTATAATGTACTAGATTAAATAACATTAGAGTTTTAGGATAAAGAAGTATTACCAAACAAGAATTTCTATTTTTCTTTTTTAAACTCATTTTCACTTAAAATTTGTGAAGTTTGTGAAGGTTATTATAGTTTTTTTTCATAGCATCAATGGAGATAAGCATAATTTTTCAAACCTTATGGGAGGTGGCCGAAATTGTTAGAAACTTCAAAAGAAGTTATTGAAATTATCCCTTGATTAAAATACAAATTTTAATGTGAGTTATTGAACTAATTTATTTTCAATGTGATAAACCTCAAAAGTAAGAACTAAGTATTTATCAACTACGTCATTTTTCCAATAAAAATAAAAATTGAGTATGTTTGAATAGAATATTATTTGAAATAATTATTATAACATTTTTTTTGTGACGTGATGTATGTCAGAAAAAATTAGAATATAAAAAAAATTGAAAAGCATATTTATGATGCAACTGAAAGCATATTTAAAACGTATTTTTAATATCCTAACACACCCACTGATACTTCTTTCATGGTAAATTGGAGTAGCAACTGTAGTTAAAGCATGACACATATACAATACAGTTGTTGAATTTATTATATATATATATATTTGTAATTTGTACATTTAGATTATATTGTTATGCTTTATAAATATTTTTGTTGCAAGTCTTCTAATTATAAGTAGAATTAGTAAATGATGTAAAACTGGGGAAAAGAACGCAAGTAGGGGGATTCAAGTGCAAGTAAGTATGAGTTCGAGCCCTTCCACAAACACTAAAAAAACAAAAGAAAAACTATACCCAAGAAGACTATTATCCCATACTCTATTGTTATTTATAATTAGTCATCATATTATTTTTTAAAAAAATAGAGGGCAAATTACTTGTATAACACCCTTTATGCATTCGTAAAACTTTTTAATTTGGTATGATTTGCAATTAATTATTTATTTTTGGTTGTGGAATCCAAAAGATCAAGTTAATTTAGTTATACAAGCAGAAGCAACATCTAAGTGGTTTGTTTTTAAAAAAATCCAGGCGAGTATACTGTGCACCCGTTTGATCCGGTGGTGATTCAGTCCCCTCCGAATTATCCCTAAATCTCTTTAGATCCGTCCCCTCCTCCCTTAATGTAGGATAGAATAGGTTTATCATCTTAAAAAAAAAATACAAGCAGAAGCAACATCACTTGCTTTACTATAAGTTGACAAATTTGGCTTAGTACTTAGTAGTAAGTCCTCAATCTTATACCAGTCGAGGGAGAGAGGTTCTTCTTACCTTACGAAATCCATTTCAGCCACAAAACCCAGCTGGTCCCCGTTTTGGGCCAATGGGCTGGTGACTGGTGCACCGGTCCAAGACAATCGTGAAAGGGCAAAAACAGCCTCGACAGTAGGAGAGTTTCATAAACACCGGAGCCAGCTAATTTGTTTCGTCTCTGAGAACGAACTCAAGAAATGAACTGAGGCAGCACAGAGAAATAAAAAATGGGGGAATTCTCTGAGGGTTGTTGCCCACTCTCTGCATGCCAATGATTTCATTCAAATCGAAAGAAAAATTAACAACCCTTCTCAGTTTTTAAGTACTCGTGCATGTATTTATGTGTGTTTATGTATATATATATATCTGTGTGTGATCTCTGGGGCGGTGGATCTCTGGTTATTGCTAATATGGAATACTGGCTTCTACTTCACATTTCCAACACCACCTTTACCAATCCAATCTCCTTTTTTATCTCAGACTTAGCTCCTTTCCACTGTTATAGGCTGTGACGATCGAATTCGATTGCTCTTGGGTTCATCTGGGCATTGAGGTTATTCGACCCGCATCTTGGCGGGGCAACCCGGATGGCCTGTGGATTGATCTTGGGCAACTGTGGTTTTGCAGCCATGGCGGTGTCTCTCCTTCTTTGCCTGATTACATCACGGATCTGAGCCTTACTTATATCCACATTTTAAAAATAAATATCCACACGGGGCGGACACGAAGCTCAATGCTTTCAAGTCAGCCCGCACCATTTCTTTGATTGGCTATGGCTTTTCTCCCACTGAGGACTGAGACAATAAGCAATTGGCAGGTTTTACGTCCTTCATGTCTAGTTTAAAGGTACATATAACCTATATTTGATTTCCTGAATTTTTCATGCTAGAGTTATCTGCTGCATTTCGCTTCAACTAAGTAGTAGCATACAATGTAGTAACAATCGACTTTATTCGACAATAGACTTGCTTATGTGTTAATTCTATAAATGACGTCTTTTTTTTTTTTTGGGAAAATTTCCCTCGGTTTTCTGTGTTACTTTGAGAATTTCATTATCAGTGTTTAACCAGGAAATAAAGGAGAACAACCTCCAAACACTAATCTTTACGATAACTAATGCAGCTTCACCAGTTGCAGGCTAAAAAAAGAGGTTTGTAAACAATTTATTGCGGCCAATATTTTTGGAGTGCTCTATGAATTACAAATGTAACTAGTTTGGCTTAAAAGATTTGCTTTCTTTTTTTCATTTTCTGTTCTTTTTGGAATTTTTATAAGGGCTCACATGTGATTGTGTTGTCCATGCAGCTGTACATTGTAAGTATTTTAATAAACAGGTGCATGCAATTTTTTGTGGAATAGGAGCTAAATCGGTGGATACCTTTTTTTAAAAGGGTAGTTGGTAGTTCAGGAGTCTTACTGCTCAAATCTAATTTTAGTGACTTGTTAGCATTTACAATCTATAGAGAAGTTTAGTTTTGAGAAGTATAATCATTGTCCTAGGCTACTTGAAAGCATTTTGTTTTGGTTATGGTCTTATCTTTGTATGAGTAATGGATTATGCTTTGCTTAACTTGTTTTAGCTATTAAACTACAAATTTAATTGAAATTCTTATACAGATGATGGGTATGAATTCTGCTTCTTAACGACATACTTAACTAGTTTTCGGTATGCTGAGGAAGTTTATGGCTTGCTTTTCAGTAAGCTTATTTTTGTAGTCACGGATGATGCAACGTGTCAACTGGTTTTTAACAAAGCTTTAGCATAATTTCGTAGTTTCTTTGGAAAGAGTTTGTTGGATTCACATGTCTTTTCATTTAACAGGGTAGGCAATCATGTGTAAGGTTCGTAATTCCTTGTGTCACTTGTATACCCATACACATGTAGAGATAGAATACGAATACATATATAATATGTGTCAGTGTGTGCTTACAAGAAAAGGAAAAAATGAAAGTGTTTTGAGTGCTTATATTGATTCTTATTATGCTTAAAGTGTAATGGTCGCTTTTTGAGCAATGCCGGGATGGGTGAGGGTCGCATTTCACAAATGAAACATTCAATGGAGGTTGCATTCAAATGGCATTGCATTCGAATGCGACCACCTTTGTAATATAGAAAAGGAAAAGGAAACAAAGGGAGGGTAAGAAATCCTGAAAGGAGGTCACCTTTTATAAATGATATAATATTGCACCTAGCAATTGCGACTGTCCTTATTTGGTGGTGGTAGCAATTTAAAATTTGGCCTCCTAGATCCTTTCAGATCCATTGCATTACAAATAATGAGGACTAGGCTTTGGATAAAGATAGTACTAACAGTAATAAGTTTTGAATAAAAAGCTACTAGCTTAGCCGTCAGGTTTAGATGAATGCATTATGTTTAGGTTTGCATACCAATCTTCAACATGTAAGTTTGTAGATCTAGGTTTTGTTGTGAGTGTTGATTAAATACCACTATAGGGTTTATGATCTTTGTAACTAATTACTTGAAACAAGTTGGTTAAGTTATTGTGTTCAGCCTAAGGATCTTGTCCACCTTGCGTGCAAGTAGGACGGCCATGTCCGGACTTCTTGAGTTTGAGAATCATGTTTGGCTTGCACGTCAGCAGGAGGATCAAGCACGAGTATACCACGTCTTGTGGTGGTGGTGTTTGTTAATTATTCTTGCTGGGAAAAGGAAAGAGATTAAGGAAAGTCTTTTCCTATTATGGATTTGGTGTATGGGTGCACCAAGACACAAATATGTGGGTCAAGTTATGATTCCACATGTTTGTGTCTTGGTGCACCCATGCACGGGGTCCATAACAGACCTTTCCTTAAGGAAGGGATCTCTAAAAGCATCTTCCTTCTCAATGTCGGTAGTCATTCATAGGCCCTTTCGATTAACAGACTTCACACAATATAAAGAATAGGAGATGGGAGGAAGTGCTGCGGCTTGGTTTAGGGAGGGAAAGGGAGACAAACGACAGGGTAGGGAGGAGGAAAACCAGTGTTTGTTTACTGAATAGAGGTCGCATTTCATGTATACGACAATCAAACTAATAAAAAGCTGTCATGTTTACAAAATGCAAGCTTTCAACAATTTTCATCAGTTTAGCGTCCAGTGTCGTGTAGACACCAAATTGTTGCTATTTTTCAAAATTTTCTTGAAATTTTTATCTATTTATTGGTAATTTATTTTCATAATTCTAACATGAATTTTTCTTATTTTGTAGGTTTTTTGAAAAAAAAAATGAAGAAAGAAAAAGAGGGAAGAGGAAGGGCAAATTGATAATCTTAATTAAATAATGTGACTTTTATTTTATGTCTTGGGCACTAAGTTTGGTCTTTTAATTTTAAGAAAATGAAAAAAATTATAATAATTTTACTCTCCCCCATCCCTCCTCTCTCGGTTTTCACACTCACTTATATTTCCCTCTCTTTCGGCTTTCTCTCTCCATCACCAGCATGCACTCATTACACACATTAACATATACTCACACACGCAGTTCTCACGCGTACACACAGATTACACACACACACACACACCAGAAAACACATGCACACACTAACACAAACAAATCTGCACACACACCTCACTTTTTCCCTTTGCACTCTCTCACAAATCACACACTGAAAAAGGAACAAAAGAAGAAGAAAGTGGGACAAAGGACAGCTGGGACTCATGGATTTCTTCACCAAATTCTCCTTGTTCGAGTTGAAAGGCTACCAATTTAATGAAGGTCTTTTCTTTCATTCCCTTTTGTGCAAACTTTGCTTTGTCTTTCTTGGCTGAGTGTTGAGTGATGATGCTTTTTCCTTTGTGACTATAACTTGAACATCCTGTTTTGTGAACAAAGAATAAATGATTAAATTTTTTTGTTAGAAAATCACGTTGAATATTGGAAGAGCCATTGACAAATTGGTTCTTGAGTCATTCTGATGGTTATCGTTTGGTGAGAATGTTTAGGATGGGAACTTGCAGTTTTCATGCATAAAAACAAAGGAAATTAATCTCCTATGAGAATCTTGATTTTTACTTTAACTTGTGAAATTTTTGCTTTGGTTTGATAATTTAGAGTTTTGGCTGTATCATAGAATCGAGGAAGGTCGTTTTAGTGCGTTTTTTTGTTGATTTTGGGCTTGATGTGGGTAAGTTTGGGAAAAGGAGATCCAGCTGTAAATGGTTCGTTTGACCACCTTTCAATCATTTTATGTGAAGAGTAATGCCGCGAATGAAATCTACGCCAAAAACTTCAGTGGGAGCGAGATTTTAGGGTAAATTTGTGACCAGAGGTGGTAATGGGTGGTGGTGATGGTGGGTGGTGAGTGGTGACCGTGCGTGCTGGTGGTAGATGGTGGTGTTATTTTTTATTTTTAAAATATATCCTAAATTTTAAATTCTAAAATGTCTCAAAATACATCCTCAAAAACACCGTCAAAAATATTCCTAAAAGCAACTAATTATTTATAGTAAAAGTTTTTTAAAGACGTCGTTATAGTAAAATTTTTGAAAAACACCCTACAAAAATAGCTAATCCAAATAGACCCATTGGTAAAACGACATATAGGCTTTTGATTTTTTCCAACAAACGACAGCATATAGGCTTTTGATGATTTGGTAGAAAAGTGTATACAAGATCATGCACTTAAAAGTAAAATGCCCTTAAGGTTAGTCTCTTGTTGAGGAGCCCTACGGGTTTAAGGTGGTTATACCAGTGTGCTAATAGTAATTCAAACAGACACAAAATATTTGAAAATTTTCAAGAACAAGGCATAGAATAAAATAGGAGTACGAACATTGCAAATTTCCTAGCAAACATCAAAATGGGAGTATCATATTGCAATCTCCCTAGTAAACATAGACTAGGGACATTTGTGCTTTTTATTTTGTGTGTAAAATTCAACTTGTACTAAGGGCATCGATGATGGAATCCATATGCCATATCATTATTTCATTATCCCTTCTTTCATTGAAGCATCCACAGTGGGGTGTGATAGGAGTATTTTCCCCACTACATGCACAATCCCCTATCATACGGATAATAATGAAGGGACAAAAGCTGAAAAGTGGATTCGCCTTGTCCAATTATTCAATATTTGTAATGGTCCAATTTTAGAAAGTTTTGCATCATCATTTTTAACATGTTTGCAACAAAAATATTTTTTTTCACTTTCAATCTTTAAAATTTTGTCTATAAATATTGCTAACATTTTCTCAATTTCTCACTCTCCTACTTCATAATTCATTTTCGTTAATCGCTTATCTAATTTTTTAAAGTTTCAATATTTTCTCATTATGGATGAGAGTTTTAATAATTTTATAAAGAAAATTCTTCCTTTTATTCAATGATTAAGTTATGATGGAGTTAATTACTTAATTATTTTTTAGAAAATAGCAATGTACTATTTTTGAGGGAACTTAATATATATCATTGAAAGTAAAAAATTAATAATATTCTTTTTTAGCAAATTAAAAATTTGAAAAGTAAAAAATTTCCAACAAAAGTTAATAAATTATTTTTCAAGAGCAATGGAATTAAGTATTTTTTAGAAAATAAATTTATTTATTTATGAGATATGTATTGTGAATTATTAACATAAATGTGTGATTTAATTGTAGATTCATACTATTATATATACTATTATATTGCGTAGAATGTAATCCTGGGATAGTGTAATGGGCGAGATGAAAGAAGAGCTAGTGGAATCCTGTGATATTGTAATGGAAGAGATAGTGGATTACACTCTAGAGTGTAATCCTTCGTGATGTGGCAAATTCTTTAGAATATAGGAATATGGGCATTTGCCAAAAAAAGGTCAAATGTGGTTGCGTGGAACTCATGTCTTAATCTATGTCCGCTGTGGTTACATGCATAGTTGTCAAAATCGCGATCCGGATCGATCGTAGGATCGTACGATCCTACGATCCGGATAACCAAAATCGATCCGGATCGTATGCAGAGTCGCAAATCATATTAATTTTTTGCAGGATCGCATAGAATCGTAGCAGGATCGTGCAGGATCGTGCAGGATCGTGTAGGATCGTAGGATCGGTAGGATCGTACGATCCTACAATTTTTTTGTAAATTTGTGAAATACGAAGCTCCATTTTGCAAATAAATGAAAATATTTGTGGTATATTTATAATTTATCAAAGAATTGCAACCTTTAATTGCAATTAAGAGCTTTTGGTAGGATCTTACGATTCTACGATCCGATCCTGTGAAACTAAAATCGATCCTACGTAGGATCCCGATTTTACAAACCTTGGTTACATGACACGATGGGACAAAAAGAATTTTTTTTTCTTAACCCAAAGGGCCACCATGCCATGTTGATGGGACAGTCCAAAATTTTAAGCAATCGCTTGTTGCGTCAACATGGCTATATTTAAGTAAGTTATAAGTGACTATATTTAATATTAATAAATTGTAAACTCTAAACCTTTTATAATAAATCGTAAATCCTAAATTTGCTAAAACTTAATAAACCCAAAACACTCTTTACAAAACTTAACAAACCTTACACTTAAAAAAAAATGGAATGTTTTGTAAACCAAATGGTTTTTTTTTTTTCTTGTAAACCAAATGGGCCTGACACAATCTGAAAAAAAAAATGTCAGACTCTGTTGCCATGGGCCTGACACATTCTTAAAGCTGGAACGTTATGTTGGCGCAAAGGGCATTGTTTTAATTTTTGGATCGTTGCGCTTACATGGCGCAACAGCTCTTTGGTTTTTTTTTTTTTTTTTTTTTTAAATTTCTTTTTGTCCCATAGTATCATGTAGACATGAAAGATATAGATTATATTACGAGTTTCAAACAATTACATTTTATCATTTTTTTAAAAAGCAAATGCCTATATTCAGCTAATTATTCAGAATATCGTTGAAAAAAAGAAAATTCGGACATCTATTGCTCTGACATTAGTCTGGTGCAAATCTATGGGTATCGGGCTGTGTCAGTCCGGCATCCAAAAGTCAGTCAATTTTTTTTTCAGCTCTGACATCGCTGTCGGGCTGGCAGCGAATTTTTATTTTATTATTATTTTTTTTTATAAAGTTGTCGGCTGCTGGGCTGACAAGGCCTGGTAGCTGACAACTTCTGCTAAAAGCTGGCTGCCGGGCTGAGAGAGTCTGGCAATCAGTCCAATTTTTTTTTAAAAAAAAGTGTCACTCAAACATTCCGACTCTTATCAAGGCAGAAGCATTTAAGCAATACATTTAAGCAATGGGAGTTAAAGAAGAATGCATTTAAGCAGAAGCTGAAGCAATAGGTTATGTCTACAGTGGAAAGTTCATTTCGGGATAATTATGATAGAAATTGTATATGACTATTTTGTTTTTATATTGCATAATAAATTTATATTTATAAAATTATATTGTACATTAAAAATTACATAACAATTTTAACAAATAATTTTTCAACAATTTGAGAACTGCATCTTATTGTAAAATGAATGAGATTTTTTGTTTAAAACGACCTTTGTTTAGTTTAACATCTTATAAAAGTAATTATTGATTTAACAAACCTGTTTTCATCTATTTCTGCTGTTCGAATTTTGAAACGTCATTTAATTAACTTAAAAGACTGTCGGATTTAGTACGTTAAGTGATATAAGTTTTTAATAAAAAAAAGGGTGAAATTTTCAACATTATTTAGTGAATTTTGTACATGTCAAATATTGTGGCAGATTTTATTTTTTAATTGAGCTTCATATTTCAAATAATTGAGGCGTAAATATAAAAGAAAGGGTTGGGATATCAAATATGATTAAAATAAAGGAACATGTGCAATTTTGGTCCCCCCAACATTTGGTCTATCAGTTAAACTAATCCGTGATATTTTGACCAAAATAATTATGATAGCAAATTTTTTATTTTAGCTAAATTTAGGACAACTAATACAAAACTATAATATATAACGGTCAAAACAAGTTAGAATTAGTCAAAAGTTTTACTTCATATTTTTTGGTCCCTTTTGTTATAAATAATTATATTTCAAATGACATAAAATGTGAATTAGATTGAATCCATAAAAAATGTGGTTTAATTCTCATTAAAATCTTTCAAAGTAATCCACATTGTCAAGACATATTAGCCTAAATAGCATCTTTTCTTTATATTAATTATCAACAAATGATAACACATACATCATATATAAAAGAAAATTTTAATTGGAGTATATAGTAACTTTAGTTGTAAATAGTATTAGGATATGAGTTTCAATCGGTTATGATCAGGTATTATGATTATAATAGCAAATAAAGGTGATTACCAATATAAAGAACTCACATGAATTTTTAAAAATTTTCTTGCCATTTCTTCTTGGCTTTCATTCATATGAAATCAAATATTTCAATAATACAATTTAATGTACTTATATTTATGTTCATCTTAAATTGATTATTTTATTGAATAATTTAAATAATTATAAAATCTTTATTTCAATTAAAACTTGATAGACAAATAGTTGAAATGCCAAACAAAGAAAAAATAAATTATTATTCAATTGACTCAATCACATATAGTTACTTATATTATAATAGAATATTTAATTAACTATTTTAATTTACCAAATATAAGTATTGGACATTAGATGATGAATAAATTTTTAAGAGGTCTTTTATTATAATTTTAAAATATATAACATTTTTTATTTATGCATAATCCGCTTTCTCCAGTGCCCCAATATACTTATTTGTGCGTCTCCACATATTACAATTGGCCTCCTTGCATTGCTTCTGCTAATTATGCGTAGAAAAATGAACTTTTCACTGTAGACGTAACCTGTTAGACATAACCTATTGCTTTTACTTCTGCTTAAATGCATTCTTCTTTAATCCCCATCACTTTGCCTTGATTAGAGTAGAGATGTTGACTGACACTTTTTTTTTTTTAAATTGGACTGGCTGCCGGGCTCTCTCAGCCCGGCAGCCAGCTTTTTGCAGAAGTTGTTGGCTACCGGGCCTTGTCAGCCCGACAGCCGACAACTTTATAAAAAAAAAAAAAAAAAAAATTTGGCTGCCAGGTTGACACAGTTCGGCAGAAATGTCAGAGCTGAAAAAAAAATTTGACTGACTTTTGGGTGTCGAGCTAACACGGCTCGGTATCCATAGATTTGCACCAGACCAATGTCAGAGCAATAGATGTCCGAGTTTTCTTTTTTTCAACTATATTCTGAGTAATAAGAAATTGCTCTCGTGATGCCGTTACACTATCACTCACTAGATTGGGGATGCTCTTATACAATCACTTACAATGGATGTAAACATTTTACACTGTATAATAATATGGACACATAATTAAATTACATATTTATTTTAATAACATACAATACATATCTCATAAGTAAATAATTTTATTTTCTAAAAAATAATCTCATTATTCTAGGAAAAATAATTTATTAATTTTTATTGAAAATTTTACTTTCCTAATATTTTTTTTAAAAAATTATTATTAATTTTTTATTTTCAATAATATATATTTTGAGGTCTCTCAAAAATAATACATTGTTATAACTCTATCATAACTTAAGCATTAGATAATAGGAAAAATTTTCTATATTTAGAGCAATAAATACATTTCTAAAATTATTAAAATTCTCATCCATAATGAGAAAATATTGAAACTTTAGAAAATTGAATAAGAGTTTGAAGAAAATAGATAATGAAGTAGGAGAAATGATGGAATAGGAAAGTGAGAAATTAAAAAAATTTTAATGATATATATAGACAAAATTTTGAGGATTAGAAATAAGCAAAATACTTCCGTTGCAAATATGTTGAAAATAATCATGCAAAACTTTCAAGAATTGAACCGTTGCAAGCATTGAATGATTGGCCAGAGTGGCTCACTTCTCAACTTTTATACCATTATTGTCCGTAATGGAGCAAATACTCCAACAATGGGCTAATTCTTTTGATTATTGCCAAAAAAAAATCGCAATTATATTGTCTTGACAATGTTCTGGTGTAGAAATATGTCTATTGGACTGAATAAATAAATCCGGTAAGCAAGCGAATTTTTAAAAAGAAGTTAGGCTACCGGACTGTTAGCTCGATAGCCCACAACAATTTTTTTTTTTTTAAAATATTTGGCTGCTGGGCTAATTAAACCTGGCAGCCATTGGAAATTTTCAGAAAAACTATGGGCTATCAGCCCGACGGCCTGTAGCCTCACTTCGAAAAAAAAAAGAAAAACGTGGAGGCTGTTGGGCTTTTTGGCTAACTTTTTAAGCATTGAGTCCCTCGTATAACAATTCAAGCATTGAGTCTCTCCAGCTAGCTGCTGATGCTTGATATAGATCAAAATTGCTATTATATGACATTTTTCTTGCTAAGTCGTGGGTATTTCTTCACCTCAGTTTCTTGTTCATGCAACTGATGGGTACCCTCAATGATTGTTTAAAACGCTGGAATCCCATCATTGACAATCTGGAAGAACCCCCATTCTTCAGAAGCACTCTTTATTTTAGAAATGATTTCTTCTCACCGAGCTGCATCTTTAGCCAGGCCCCGGAGATCTATTCTTATATTGCACAATAACTTCACCATTTTTATATTGCACAATAATGTTATATTTGTCAAATTATAGTTTAGATTAATAATTACTTTTTATGTTTGATTACCCAATATCATATTTGCTTCTACCTCTATTCTTATAACTACCCACTATCAAATAATAATTTCTTTGTATATTTTATTTAGGTAAATATCAATTTTTTATATGTTTTATAAAAATATAAAACCAAATCTTATACATAATAATTTCAATGATTATCTTTCAAAGATTTTTAAATATGCATTGACTGTTGCACATTAAGATTTGGGGAATGCATCTTCGTATAAATTGAATGAGATTTTTTTATCTAAAACCTTTTCTTAGGGTTGAATATAAAATAAAAATAATTGATTTAGCAAATCTGCTTGAACTTTTTTCTTATGTTTGAACATTAAAAAAAAATCAAAAAGGAAGTTCGGCAGCCTCCAAGTTTTCTCTTTTTTTTTTTTTAAAAAAAAAGATAAGTCATAAGCTGTCAGTTAGGCCTCACCTTTTTTGAAAATTTTCGATGATTACCGGATTTAGTCAGCCCGACAGCCAAACATTTAAACAAAAAATTGTTGCGGACAATTGAACTGACAGTCCAATAGCCTACCTTTTTAAAAAAAATTTTTTCTCTTACCTATCGGGTTTAGTTAGTCTAGTAGGTATAATTCTATACTAGACCATTGTCAGAATAATATTATTGTTGCGATTTTTTCTTCTTTGACAATAATAAAAGGAATTAGCTCAAACAGTGGGAGTGGATTCAATACATGCGTGTAATAGAGTGTGTTACACCCTATTCTTTCTCGATGCTCTAACTCTAAGGACTTGCCTGGTCAATTTTGCTGTTGTAGCATCCGCACTGTATCGGTGTTCGTGCCCTTCTCCTTGGGGAAGAGACACCGCTAGCATAAATATGGTTCAGTGTTATGATAAAGTCTCAGCCTCCTGGGGCTTGAGACCTTAAAGAGTCGAAACTCAAGAAAAATGAATGGATGAGGCAGCCAGAGGGGCCGGGGAGTTTTTCAAAGGGTTGTTGCCCCTCTCTGTTCTGCCGATGACTTCCAATTTTTGTTCTATATACAGAAAGAAAAAAGAAAATCAACAGCCCTTTCCAAGCAGACAGACAGATACAGTAGTATTATTTCTTGAATTGTGCGTCTGGAAATGAAATGTGAACTGGGGACTTCGTTTGATTATCTCTGAAAGTGCTTGTCAAGAAGTCATCACATTTCATGAAAACTTTTCATTGTTGATGTGATCAACTTCGACAAAGCATTTTTCTTCATCAGGGCTTTGTTGCTTAGTGAAGGTTTCAGGCTGTGATGATAGAGTTATTTTCTTGAGTTGTTGGCGTGGAGTTGAATCCGACCCGTATCTTGGCTGGGCAACCCTGATGGCATGTGATCTGAGAGCGGGTGGGCTTCAATTAGCTCCTCCTTTCTCCTTCACATATGCAACTGGGAAATTGCAGCCATGGCGCTGTCGCCTTCTCTTTTGCCTCGTCTTGTTACAGATCTGAGCCTACGTCAGTACTCACCCAGTGTATGATGATGATGCTTTAGCTTCGTTCTTTAAATTTTTCATGAAAGATTTCCCCTGTTTAAATTCCTTAAATTTTCTAACCCTTTAGTATCTGTGTAGAAGAGAATGGCTCCACCAAAAAGCCTCTTTTTTTTTTTTTTGACCAGAATGAACTCAGGGATGAATTGAGGCTGCAGAGAGAAAAATGGGGAATTTTCTAAAGGGTTGTTGCCGTCTTTCTGCATGCCAATGATTTCATCAAAGAACAAAGAAAGAAAAAAATCAACAGCCCTTTTTCAGCTCTGGTTTCTGAGATTCTGAATACTCCGGCAGAGAAAGGTATCTACTATTTGTTTGTGCCCGCGCGTGTAAAAACGTGTCTCCACCGTCACCACCAGCGTGAATGGGTCCAGTCTTTCAGCTGGTTTTCGGGTCCCCTCCATTGTTATAGGCTGTGAAGATCAGATTCTTTAATTCTTGAGTTCTTACTTCTTGTGGGCATTGGGGTGACACGACCCGTATCTTGGCGGGGCAACATGGGCGCCTAGTAGATTGCTCATGGACCAATGTGTGGTTTTGCAGCCATGGCGGAGTCTGTCCCCCTCTGCCTGATTCTTTCACAGATGACAGATCTGAATTCTGAGCCTTACTACTTCCCTGACTGAAATATCCTGAATTGTTCACGGCCAGATTTTGGCAAAAAAAAAAAAAAAAAATTGTGCGATTCAGATCACTAGTTGTACATTAATTTTGATAATATGTGGAGCTCGTAAAATTTTGTACTAAAGTTAAATGTTGTTCAAATAAAGTTATGTTGTGTGTAACCAAAGTTACGCGTTGTTAAAAATGATCAAAACTGCCAAAAATGGTGACTCCTGCAACCGTTCCTGCCCTTGTCCCAATTATCCAAGTTAGTTGGTGGGGTATGGATTGCAGAAATTTTTTGTTCAACCCGGGCTATTGGCATGTCTCATTTATGTGATCCTGAATTTTCATGCTATAGATATCTTCTTGATTTTTTTTTCCCTTCTACCCTCCCACCCTTTTCATCCGTAATTATCTTCTTGATGATTCACATCAGCTTTGCATTCTTAGCTAAAGAATTAGCGTTTGCATTCTTAGCTAGAGAAATAAGGGGTTCAAGTTTGAATCTCTTTTAAGCCAATGCTTTTCCTTTCCGTGTTTGTTTAATGGGACAATTATATTGAAAAAGGGACTAGATGCGAAACATGCTTGCATTTTTTTAAAAAAAAATATTTAGCAGGGAAAGGGTGGGACATAAGAAACGTAAAAGAGATATGGGAATTTGAATCTAAAGTCTTTAATTTTTGAAATTTTAACTTTAATCATTAGATCAATCCTTACTCGCAGCGTGCGTATGTATGTATGTATTTGAATACAAGCTGGGTAGGTCAATGAGTGGTTTAATCTATGTATGTATTTGAATACAAGCTGGGTAGGTCAATGAGTGTTTTAAGATTAAACCGTTAGAAAAATTACTTCTTTTAGTTCTTTCACAAAATAACTTGTAGCGCTTGATTTGCAGGATACAAAAATGAACTTAGCAGAGTATCATTGTTTGGATTGTGAATTATTAGAGATATTTTTACTGTAACACTTTTTGTAATGTGATGTATGTGAGATAAAAAGGTAATTGGGAAGATAAAAAGGTGTGTTGAAAATTGTAATGATGATGTAAGCAAATATATTTTGACAAATAAACAGCAATCCAAACAAACCCGATCACCATGGATGAATTGAGCTGATTCAGATCATCTGCTTTTTCTTGCATTGCTCCTTTATATATATTTTTCTTTAGTAGAAGTAAGAGAAGTTTTTTTTTTTAAATTGTTCTTTCTTGTTAATACTGTCGCCTGACAATGATCGCTGTACTTTACATCCCAAAGAAAGGACTAGGGGCTCAAATAGTTGTTGGAAAAATCGTTTGGGCCAATTCTTGTTTAAACACATAGGATGTAATCTCCTTTGTTTGTTCAAAATGTAATTCAGTTTCAATACCGTGTAAATGTAAAACAACAAAATGTCGTGGGGTTCATACATGATGTTAAAATTCATGTAAAAAAATGTAATTTGGGTCTAACATTTTTCATTTTTACCAAATCATGACTATTAACCTTTCAGAATACCTGCCCCATTTTCTTAAAGAAACCCTCAAGGCAGGCCAAATCCATCACCAAGAAGTTGTTGGGTTGTGAAATTGAAAAAGTAACTTGTACAGAGAAAAGTGATTAAAAAATATATTTATAATGTAATTAATTTTTTTCAAACTACTAAGCTATAAATTGAATACTAAAGTACCAAATTGTGTAACTTGCATCACATCTATCGGAAAGGAACCACCATATTTATAACATGAACCAAAAAATTGCACGAAAGTTTTTGCGCCAAGTGGTAGCTACTTCATTAAGCCCTTTGTAGTAAGTTTCGATTGCGCAATTAAATGTCATTAAAGTGAATGGCAGCCTCGGCCGTCTTTTGGCAAATTATAAAATAGTTGTGCCCTACTTAGTACCGTCCATTCTACCTCTCTAAGCAGCTTATGGTGTCAAAAACATGCTCCGATCTGTGGTGTGGCGGTGATCGAAGCCGGAGTTACCTAAATTTTTCCTTTAAAAAAAAGAAAAAAAAGAAACTGTCCGTTCTACATTTCCTCTTGGGCCAAAACTTTGCGGAAAGTTGAAAGCAAGATGAACGAAATTAAGTTTCACTATAGTAATTTCCTAAATTGCTGGCACGACAAAATTGTAGTTGTCCTAAATTTTTGGGTCAAGTAATTAGTTGTCCACTTAGAATTAGAATCCTTAAGATTAGATTAAAGACCTACTGTGACGATGTAGTCCACTTAGGATTATACAGAACTGAAATCCTAAGATTAATTTTAGAGATTATAACCGCCATAATTATCTGCAAACTTTTCCTAGTGAAAAAATAAACACCCTTTAGCTTCATTGCCTCCTGTCCTATAAATAATTACCACCACTTCGTTTTTCAAAACCTTGGAGGTAATCCTCGACTCAAGAAACTGAGAAAAGCCGTAGAGCATTTTGTCAGTCCTGCAAAGGAAAATTGTGTTCAACAAAGCCTTTTAGCAGCATAGCATCGATCAGCATCAAGGATGCCGAAAGGATCTCACAGGAACCCGAATTCCTTAACTTATTCTCATCGACAAAAGGGCATCTCCTTACGATGTCAACTCAAGCAATAATCATCGCAGAAGTTGCAAGAACAAGTTAGAAAATAGTACTAGTTCTGAGGAAAAGTTAGAGGAAGACTCAGAGTGGAAAGAAGCAAGATGCCCCGTATGCATGGATCATCCGCATAACGCTGTGCAGTTAATTTGTCCATCCAATGAAAAAGGCTGTAAACCCTTCATCTGTGACACAAGCTACCGCCATTCAAATTGCTTCGATCAGTTCTGTAAGGTGCATGGACTAACCCCATCAAAACCAACTTCTGATCATCAGCCAAACGGGTTTTCACCCCTTGAAAACAGGCAGGTTCGGGAACTTTGGGGGTGTTTTTTAAATATTTTAAAGTACCAATATATGTGAACATTTTTTATTATAAGTATTAAGTGTTTTTAGGGGTGTTTTTAAAGGTGTTTTAGGAGAGGAAGGTGGGGCGACGAGATGGGGGAGGAGGAGAAGGAAGGAGGGAGAAAAAAAAAAAAGAGAGAGGATAGGGGTGGCGCAACTGTGATGGGTGGTGGTAATGTGTGGAAGGAAAAAAAGTGGTATGATTGATTTTTTTTTTTTTAATTTTTTGTGTATTTGTAAGTTGTTTTTGAGATATTAGGTATTTTTGGAGTTGTTTTTTGTTTGTGTATTGTTTGGAAAAATTAGGATTATCAATGGGGTTGGGTATGTCCGAACTCAGCCTGTTCAGCCCGAAAAAGCTCACTAAATTTAAGCTTTAGTTGGTGTGGATAGAGTTTGGATCTAAATATTAGACTCGAACTAAATGTGAGCCGACCTTAGGTCATACTAGGCTTAGGTTTGATTAAAACCCGACTCATATATGAGTATAATTATATATGTAATAATATATATAATAATATCTATAATTTATAATTATCTATACTATATATAAAGGGAGGGAGGGGGGTTTGGGGTAAACAAAAATTTGTTACTTTATATACTTCCTAAACTATCCTTGATGGTGCGGGAATTTTTGGTATAAACAAAAGTCTATTTATCTTTGATAACTACCCATTAACAATATGATTTTTTACCAAGTAATATGTATTTTTTTCATATTTTATTTTTTAACTCATTTAGTAAATCTTAATTTTAATTAGCAACTACCAATTATGGTTATGAATAACTACCAAATAACTACTTTTTATAAATTTTATTTTGGTGAATTTTTTACATATGTATTTTCAAAATATAAAACCAATTTTCTTGAAAATGATTTCAATTAATATACTCAAAATATTTCAAAAATATTTTTTCTATTAGTCTCACACACATTAATATGTGCCTTGAATACTAGTATATATTACGACATAAAATATTAATAATTTATATGTAAATTTGTATTAATTTATAATTATAATTATAGATTATATATAATTATGTATTTAATTATGAGTTTGGATCAAACCTGATTTGAACCCAAACTTCATATGATCATGTGAATTGATATTGAACCTTTTTAATTTCAGCTCAAAATCCAAAAGTTCATATAACTTGTGAGATGAGTTTGAACTTGCTGGATCCGATTCAGAAAAACCCGATTGACACCCCTAGGCAAAAAAACTAGCTTGTAAAAAGTAGTCCAATCCAAACGGTGGGTAATGTACCAAAAGGCTACTAATTTGCCATTTACCCGCGAAGAAAAGAATATGAGAAGAAATCAATTAGTCTAACACAAACATGTTAGGCCAAACGTTACCGTGTCTGGAGCCACTCACGTCGGTCCTGTTCCGTTTCGATTAGTGTCTTTGGGTTTCGCGCCACAGGAATATATAAGGGTCTACTCGCAGAAATTGGTCGGTTACATCTACGGTGGAAAGTTCACTTTTCTGTCCACAAAGACTGAAAAAACTCAAGAGATGCGAATGAGGCAGCAGAGGGCCGGGGAGTTTTTAAAGGGTTGTTGCCCCCCTCTGTTCTTTTTTGGCCAATGATTTCCTTCCAAAAAGAGAAGGGGGGAAAATATGAACAACCCTTTGCAGAACGAAAAGAAAAACATTTCCCAATTCCTGCTGGAAGCATTTGATAATCTTGATATTCGTTGAGATTGAGGATGTTCTTGGAAGCTTAAATTATTGCCTTTTTGGTTTCTGCTTCTGCTTCTGTTACTCGATGCAATCTTCTTTGATCGTTCTCGACAAATGGCTTAATTATCAGCAGTTTACGAAAGCCTTCTGGTGTTTCGGTTTAGGGTTTAAGGTCGTGTTGGATATAGTTTTTGGCCGTGATGATAAAAATCTTTTCTTGAGTTTGTTCGTGGTGGGGCATGTGGAGTTTAAATCCAACCCGTATCTTGGCTGGGCAACCCGGATGGCATCTGAGCTGAAACGGGGGCATGTGTTCTTTCTCATTGACTTTTGCAACTGGGATTTTGCAGCCATGGCGGTGTTGTTGCTCCATTTTGCCTCATCCCACTACATATCTGAGCCTAGTTAAACTATCTATGGAAGTGATGCCTTGGTGTCTTTTTAAAATTCTCCGATGAAAGGATTGTCTGTCCGAATTATATCATTGCTAGATGCCTAGGTATAACATTTCTTTTTGTACTTTTGACTACTTTTGAATGTACCTCAACTAATCATGAATCAAGAAAAACAAAAAACTAGCGTGTATTGGAGAAGGGAGTGTTAGTCTCTATTGGTTTTGCTATTGAGCTTGTTTATTGGAGAATTTCATGCATGGAAAAGTTCTTAAGATCATAATTAGTTTTTGTTGTGCTTGAATCTTATTGTTGGAGAGCATCCTATAGAAGATTAAGTGACTATTAGTTGCTTCCCTATGTTACCTTTCTGAACGGAGCTTAGACAAGTCCACTTTTGTTTATTTTTCAGACGGCTTAAGATTAGGTAATTGCTTGTTCTTTAGCACCCTTGATTTTAATGGTCAACCTTTTTCAGGGCCTAACAAATCTAGTTTGCCACTGGATCTTGAATTATGATACTATAACTTAGTTTCCCTGTCAATTTTGCGCGAGCTTGGTTTGAAGATGTGGGTAATTAGTAATAGTATGATTTACCATATGAGTTATGCCATGCCATGTGACAGAGTTAATGTAGTTTGTTGGGTTATTGATAAAAATCATTTGTTAGAACTTTTGGACTTATTTGCCTACCATTGAATGGTGAATCACTTTTTAGTAATGAGAGACTGCTGACCCATTTGCCTACCATCGCAAAATGTGAAAAGCAATACCATTATCGCCAGTTTCTTGAGGCATTCTTGGATGGTTTTGTTATTTTATATGAATTTATGCAGGAGGGAATGCATTCTTCCTCAGAAGCGAAATAAACTCCAAGAATAAAAATGAGGTCTATTCATGATAAATATTACATAGATCTTCAAGTTTGTGGAATTTGTTGATTGCTTTGTAAGAATTTAATGGAAAAACCACTACTGTTCTTTGTAAGATTAGTGAAGGAAAATTTGGTCATAAATTTGGAGAGTTTACTTTTACATGGAAATGAACACCTTGAGAATAAATATTGGACCAGGAAGAAAAAGTTGGAAAGAGTACATGTGGTGCTGAAAGAAATCCAACTTTGATAAGACATTCAAAACTTAAGAGAAATGAATGAGGTTGCTAGAGTGCTGGGAGAGTTTCTAAATGCTTGTTGCTTCCCTCTGTTTCTGCCAATGATTTTCAATTTTTTCTTTTTCAATTTTTTCTTTAAAAAAATTAACAGCCCTTTGGATGACTGAGACAGAAACAGCAGTCTGTTTTGTAATGCTGATGCTTATGCCATATTCCTCTTTGCGAAGAATTTTGAAACGGCATGGTGGTATATGTATTTGATAATCCCTTGTATTAATTGACAAGCTTTCTTTTGCTTGATCAGGTTTTAGGTTTCTGAAATGCTTGAGGATTTAATGATAAAAATCTATTCTGGTGCTTGTAATGGGGTCTGGAGTTCAATCTGACCCATATCTTGGCTGGCAAACCGGATTGCAACTGAGCTGAGATGGGTTGGTTCTATTTGTCTAAATTCACTTATGCAACTGGAATTTTGTAGCCATGGTGGTACTGACTCTACATTTTGCCTCTTCTTATTACAAGATCTGAGCCTGGTTAAACCGTGCATATGATGGTTTATTACCTTGTCTAAACTCTTTAGTATATAGTTTGTCTATTGGATTTGTAGTTATACTGGATATGCTGGATTTACTTTCAAGGTCGCATTTTCTTTCAATAATCTTGACCTAAAGTGGGAAAGAGACCCTGCTTTTGATTGAATAATTCTGAACTTGCTCATGAACATCCAGACATTGATTCTGGTGGTCATACATACCTGTTTAGCAGATCTTCTGCTGAAAGCCTTCAAAAGACTCTTCCAGTTGATTACCTACCTCGAGGAGTTAGTCTTTTTCTGGTGTGCCAGTATCAACCAACATGGTTTTACCAGCTTAGCAAAAGGGTGCCCGTAAGTAAAAAGAAGAAAGAGCTTCTCTTGAGGCCTTAAGAGTTTTCTACATTTTTCTCAATCTTTCTCTTTCTGTTATCGTCCTTAGACCAGTGAAAGTTGAGTTCTGTTGATGAGCATGTACCACACATGTAATTGTGTGGTTGAATTCTTTCTTTGCTATACTCTTGGCTGGAAGCATCATCTATTTCTACTTGAGGTCATTGAAAATTTGGAATGTTGATTGTTCTGTCTTGTTATATGTTTGATGAATTATGGTTCTTTGCTGATAATCATGGCAATGGTCGCCTAACAAGGAAAAGAAAGAAGAAAAATTAATCTTGGTAGTGTCAATTTTCCCAAGGGTTGAGCTATGTATCTTAAGCAACCAACTTTGCGTCAAGCAATGCATATTTCATCTCATTTAGTACTTCAAATTGTAGATGAGGGCCTAAAGGTCCTCATAACTCTATTATTAATCACAAACTATTTTTTATGCATGTAGGAATTCCAAGTAATAGTTGGCTTTTATAGAAAACATGCCTTAGCTAGGATTGATAAATCTTAAGATATTTTGTGCCTATCAATGGAAAACAATCCTTCTGAAAAAAGAAAAAAAGAAAAAAGAAATTGCACATTTTGGAACTTATTACACTCATGAGCCGAGATGATTTCTAAAGTAAAACCTTCTTTGTGATTTTATTGTTATGGAAGTCTTGTAAACTCCCCTCTAAATGGGGTTTAATTAGAAAGAGATTTAGCCTTATATTTGTTTGAGATGAAGTTTAGATACATTATTGGAGGAGTTTTGCTTTTTCCATGCTAGTTAAGAATCAGATGGACCTTTACGTGAATGAGAATTTTAACCAAGTCCACTGTTGTGATGATTGATTTTATTTAAATTTAGGCTTTAAATCACATTATTGTGGGAACGTCTGGGTTTTCCATTCTAGTTAATAATCAGATGGATCTTTACATTGGGAGAATTTAAACCACCAGTTCACTGTTTTGGCAATTTAGGGGACAAAAGCTTGCTAAAAGTTTGTTTTGAGCTCCATTGATTTTCAAATTCCACATTTATGCAGGGTTAACGGAATTGAATTTGCTTTCAGTCATGCATTATCTGACAATTAATTTCATTTTGGTAGGGAAGTAATATGGACTGTGTTTTGCTAAATGTTTGGTACGTGGAAAATGTGTGTAGCTGTGAATTATACCTTGGTCCTTCAGTTGAGTTTATTGGATTAAAAGTTGCAGTTAGTGACAGTTAGCTGTCAGACATCATTGGATCTGCACGAGCAATCGTTTTGCACTTGTAGGATTTTAAAACAGTTTTATAGTTTGAGGATGTTGAGCGAAATTATGTGTTTTACATGTCCTGCCTGCTGCTCTAATGTTGTTTTGAATGGATACACTTGATTTGAATATCATGGGTGAGTTTTATTACTCTTTCAAGCTGCTTTTGGGATGCGTTTGAAACAGATTCCTTACAGGATCTTATAGCATCTACCAGGTATAAGAAGCGAGGGCAATACAATTCAGCTTCGGTTAAATCCAGGATTTGCAGCATTTACATTTTCATGATGGATCACTGTGGTACAAAAGGATATGATTGTAGTAGCCAGAGGGTAATGAGTAGATTTCTGATTCCTTTTGTGGTGTATTTTCTTGCTGAAGCAGCCCTTCCAATGTGAGAGCCTCTTTTGTTGCTGCCGTATGTATGTTTGTTCAGGTTTTGTTTTTAAGATGCAGAAGAGTGTATCGACTACTGCTCATAGGGGGAATAGAGACATGACAATGTTGTGCATTGCTGAGGCAAGATGAAGGAAGTCATTTTTGTAAGCTGAGGACTGACTGACTCCATCCCTCTGAAGGATGTACCATTTATCTCATTTCAAACCAGGCTTCAACACGAAGTGCATTTTGTAAATCCCAAGTTTATTTGTTCGTTTTCCATATATCATGGTTCATGGAGATTAACCAATCAGGAGTTTGTATACTGGTAAAAAGGCGAGGTTTGTGGGCCAATCAGTGTCTGGTTTTCACTCTTCAGTAACATTTGGTTGCTATTGCATTGAATATGGCTCTGAAGTTACCATTGCAATGGACAGTGGTAAAATGTGAAGTTACTATTGCATCAGACTTCCTGTGTTACGTTTTATTAGTAGTTAATTTACCCTTTTTCCTACAAAAAAAAAGAATATGGTTATAAAGAATCGAGATCTCCTGGGTCTTTGGAGGAGCACCATCCATCTTAACAAGTAATGCAAGTCAATTTGGAGAAAATTTAATGTACAGTATGTATCTTTTTTAGGCCTGCGTAGTTCAAGAAAAGCTGATGGTGTGTTATATATATATTTTCGGGTCTGGAGGCTAATCCTTCCAGGTTGGGTTGGGCAGAGCTTTGTCCCAAAAATATCCAACAAAAATCCTCAACAACGGTAACATGTGGGATCGAACCTGAGATCTTGTTGTAACTACAGACGATCAGTCTCAATCGGGTTATCTGCTGGGACTGATGGTGTGTTATACAGTCCAACAATTTCATAACACAAAATATTAGCTTCTACAAATATTTACGTTAATCTAAATGGAGCAAAATGCTAGAATGGTGGCTTGGGTCTTTGTTAACTCCATATTTGGATTGGAGTATAATCTCAAATTCAAAGTCTGAATAAGGTGTACTAAAAGTAAATAATGCAGTCTTTTTTGATTAGACAAACAAGCCCTTGTTCGAGGAAACCGCGCAACCCTTTTCACTCTGCTTGTATATGGTCCGCCCGCAATTCACACCTCAGTAAGAATAATACTACTGGAAGAATCAACTCAGAAGAATGAGGGCGCTGGGAGAGAGCTGGGGAGTTTGTAAGGGTGGTTGCCCCTCTCTCTGCATTTCCCCGATGATTTCTGTCAGACCCGCTAAAGTAAAAATCAACAGCCCTTCGGAGAGAAGACGAAAGAATGCATTGTTATTATTATTATTATTATCATCATTTCACTCTTTCTCTGCATCAAGATCATCACCGTCATCTTCGTCATCATCATCATCTTCTTCTTGTTTGATATAAGGCTGTGATGATATTTCTCTTTCTTTCTGAGTTATAAATCGGGCATGGAGTTTACGGGTCCCGTAACTTGGCTGGGCAAACTCCTGATGGCATTATTTGAGATGGGTTCTCCATGCTAAAATGCACCTGGGTTTGCAGCCATGGCGGTGCTCCTCCCTCTTTGCCTGACCTTTTGACAGATCTGAGCCTTTCTTTTTGTCTGGTTTTGCTCGTCTAGTTTTAGCTTGAGAAAACGAAGCAGCCGAGAGATGGGGTTTTGCTCCTTCTCTCTGCTAAGCTTATGATTTCTTCATTACCCGGTTCGAGGTTCCACCGGGTTGATATCCGGGTCGGTTTTTTATTGACTATGTTCTGAACTGCGAGCCCTGAAGAAGAAGGGATATTAGACAGAAAGGATGAGGTTGTGGAGAGAGTTTGAGGGAGTTTCTAAGGGTGGTTACCCCTCTTTCCACAATGCCGATGATTCTCAGCAATTTTTCGCCAAAAAAAAAAAAATCAACAGCCCTTGACTGAAAAGAAAAGGCAATAAAAATAGAAAAGCTATTGCGCGGTTTATACACCTAGTCATCGTCCTCGTTATGGTTATCCTGCTCATCCTCATCGGCCGTCATCAGCATCAGCAGGGGTCACTACTCATAAGGCTGTGATGGTACTAGAAATTTTGTTGTGTTGGAATCTGTGAATGGAGGCAACCGGACCCGTATGTTGGCTGGGCAAAACCCAGATGGCATTATTTCAAAATGGGTTCTTTTCCTCCTCGTCACAAGCAACTGGGCTTTGCAGCCATGGTTGTCTCCTTCCTCCTTTTCCTAATTTATTTATTTTTTCTATATTATCTGAGCCTTACTCTAGAAGTACTCTAACTCCATCGTTAGTGTGTGTTGTTTGAGATAGACATTTTACTTTGCAATTTTTATCTGGAAGCAAGCATATTGCTCTGGCATTATGGAAATCCTCAAAATGGTGGTTTATATATTACTGGTCGATAGCTCAGAGAATGAGGCAAACAGAGTGGTGGGATTTATTTTAGAAGGGTGGTTGCCCCTCTCTGTTTGAGCCTATGATTTCTTCATTAATTATCCAAAAATAAATACCAACAACCCTTAATTTCTGGTACTTACTTTTCAGCTTCTACTATTACTACTTCTAGCTGAACCAAAGACTGCGGATGTATTTTTCCATTGTTTGCTTTGCTAAGATGTTAAAGGCCGTGATGATATTTCTAGATGAGCTAGGCACTAAGGGATTGATGATATAAAGTGACCTGTATCTTGGTTGGGCAACCCGGACGGTATCATTTTGGGGGGTGTTTTGATGAATCACAAACTTTTCTTTGATGCAACCGGTGTTTTGCAGCCATGGCAGTGTCACAAACTCAATGCCTGATCAATTACAGACCTGAGCCTGATGTTTTTCTTGTTGTAGACGCATGCAAAAAGGATCCCTTATTCGTTCCACCTTAAATGCCTTTTCAACAACATTCACTAAACAACTTAAGCCTACTAGCGTGTTGCCAGTACCTACTCCACTCCAACCCAAGGGTCACTTCCCCTCTCCTCTCCATCACACTGCCCACTCCCTCCCCGCAATGACCTTCTCCTTGCTCAATGAAGCTTCAGTTGCACTTGACGTTCCCCTTCCCCTTCTCTCCCACCCACTTACTGCTCTTTTTAGGGTATTTGAGGAGACAAGTTTGGCCCGAAGATGAGTATGGAGATTAGTTTCTTATTTTTTTGGGGATTTTTGTTTTATAAATTAGGTGTTTCTGGATGGAGAACTGTTTGGAAAATTTTATATTGTAACAGTCTAGCACATTTTATGATGTGATGTATGTGAGAAAAAAGGTGATTGAAAAGATGAAAAGCTGATTGGAAAATGTGTTGATGATGCAATTAGTAATGTTTTCCAAATACTGTTGTATCCAAACAAACTGATTGTTTTTCGGATGTTCTTGGAGGATTATTGTTACCTTTCCATAAATTTTAGTAAAGCAGAAAGTTTTTTGTTTTTTTTTTTTGGCCTCTGTTGCAATGGGTAGACTTGGATATTTAGCTTCTTTTTTTACTCACTCAGTGGACTCAATATAAATAGTCTGAGTTCGAGCAAGTTGCCATCAATTCTGGATTCTGCAAATTTTAGGGGCTTCCATGTTGACTCCTATTTGCCCGAGTCTTTGAACCATGAATATAAGTGGGCATCAGGAGGCATTTCTCTCTCGACAGAAAGAATGAAGAATGAGGGTGCAGGGAGAGATTCTGGTGGAGTTTCCAAGGGTGGTTGCCCCTCTCTCTCTCTGCTTTTTTCCCAATGATTTCTCAGTCTTTGAACAAAAATAAAAATGAAAAATAGCCCTTATTAGAAACAGAAGAAAATGGAGTTATTCTATATGCTATAGCATCATTAATGGGTTTGTTTGGATTGTAAGTTATTTGAGATATTTTTACTGTAGCACTTTTTGTGATGTGATGTATGTGAGATAAAAAGGTAATTGGGAAGATTAAAAAGGTGTATTGAAAATTGTAATGATGATGCAAGTAAATATATTTGGAAAAATAATCAGCTGTTATCAGCAGCAGCAGCAGTACCTCATAGTAACAGCACAAAACCCTTAATCACTCTGCCCTCTTTTCCTGTGTGCTAGTATATGCATTTCTAGGTTGTGATGGTACTTCACTATTTGTTTTTGAGTTGTGAATATCAGGAAGGGAGCTAATTGGACTTGTATCTTTTTGTGGGGGTTGGGGGTGGGGGCAACCCTGATGGTATTTTTTGAGATGGGTTTTCCGGAGTCCATGACATGCAATTGGGTTTGCAGCCATGTTGGTTCCCATTCCTCTTAGCCTGATTTTTACTGTGCATATCTGGGCCTTTCTCTAGTTAGTGTGTGTGTGAGAGAGAGAGAGAGAGAGAGAGAGAGAGAGAGAGAGATTTGTTGTGATTTAGTTGGCAGTAGGAACAAGTGGCTCTGCCATGGTGGGAATCTTTAGCTAGTAAATTTAGCTCAGAGAATGACGCAAATAGAGAGATGGGATTCCCTCATTGTTTTATGCCTATGATTTCTTCATTAATTAACCAAATTTAGAAACCAACTGTCCTTGATTTCCAGTAATCAGTGCTGCTGCTGCTGCTACTACTACTACTACTAATTGAAACTTAGACTGTAGTTATAATTCTATGTTATTTGGTTTGCTCTTTGACCAAAGGCCTTGGAGAAGTATAGGAAAGAAAAGACTAAAGTGTTGAGGGCTAGGATGATATTTGTAATGAGCTAGGAAAAAAAGGCATTGATTTTATAAATTGACCCATATCTTGGTAGGCAACCTGGATGGCACAGTTATTACTTGGGTGTTTCTGTGTATTAGTTTCTTTCACTATAGCGCAACTAGTGATTTGCATCCATGGCGGTGTCACAAACTTAATACTTGGTCAAATTCAGATCTGAGCCTTGTGTTCTTGTTGTTTGCAGTATTCTTGTGTTGAAGTCACAGGCATAGAGTGGCCATGCATTTATGCAGCTTGTGCATTTCTGCTTATCCTTGTTCAAATAAGATCTCTTTGCGACTTATGATTCTGGGTTTTCTTCAGGAGTTTTTCTCATTTCTGATGTGCTAAATGCTGCTATTTGCACTTGTTTAGCATTTTACCAGTTCTGTAAAAGTGGATAGCTCATTGTTTTGGTGAATTGGGTCTTTTAGTCCCTGGGTTGATAGTCTCCTTGTTTTGGTGCCAATGAGGCCTTGGTCTAGTGGCTAAGGTTGAGGCCCTAGGAATTAGAAGTCCTGGGTTCAAATCCCCCTGTCCCCTCATGCTTCTTAAGTCCTGCCCCTTCCCTGCTGGAAAAAAATTAAAAAATAAAAGAAGTGGTGATTTTGGTTCAATATAGATTTTTCTACCTCTGTCGTTTTCAATGTAATTATTTACAAGTCTGCATTCATTGTAGATGATTTGTTGTGTTTTGGTTGCTCTCTAGTGCTACTTGCATTAGGTGGATTTGATTTTTTGTGGGTTACTGGATATGAACATACATTTTTTAAGCTGTAATTATTCAATTTTTGGAATTTTGAAGTGTATTTTCCAAGGCTTCTGTCACTCCACCCAAGCTGTTGTAGCACAATCTGCATTCTTTCATAATCAAAAGTTGAAGACTCAGGCGCAAGAGAAATAGGGATTTTCAATGGTGGTCAATTTCTCCCTAATCAGATTTTTCAGAGGCTGTGGTGTTACTCACTTCCTTCTAATGTAAGGAATGAATGAGGGTTATGATCGGGTTTGAACCTCCATGATAAAACAACCAGAGGACTGAAAACTAGGAGCTCCAAGACTGATTGAGGCATCAGAGAGATGTGGGATTTCTTCAAGCAGTGTTGCCTCTCTCTGTTTTTAGCCAATGATGTCTTCTTCTTCTTCTTCTTCAAAAGCCAACAACCCTTCTGTTTAATTTAGTGTCCATCCTTCTCAGGGTTTAATTTCACTGATCACCCTTTTGTACTACTACTGCTAGCATTCACTGGAACCAAACATGGCGTCCGACAACTTTGCAAAGTTTCTTGGGCCTAGTTTGGGAGTTTGAGAGAGAGAGAGAGATTTTGTATGGTCCCATAAAAAATGGCTGTGATGATTTTACATCTCTGAATGGGAGCTGAGTTGTTTTTTTCTCCCTCAGGGCAATTGAGGTGAACCGACCCGCATCTTGGCAGGGCAACCCTGATGGCCTGCATGCAACAGGGTTTTGCAGCCATGGCGGTGTTTCTCTACTTCTTTGCCCAAAGCCTAAAGTTTTTAAAAGATCTGAGCCCATTTTTCTCAAGGTTCACATCCTTAGCATGCCTTTCTGAAATTGTCCCTTTACTCATGTAGCCTCTAAGGGATGAGGCATTATACTTCTTTCAACTGAAAGATCGAAAGAATGATGGGGCAGAGAGAGTGTACTGTTGGGGCGAGTTTCTAAGGGTGGCTGCCCCTCTCTGCATTTCCCCCAATGATTTCTCAGTCCTCAAACAAGGAAGAAAGAATAAACCACCCTTGGAAAACGAAAAAGAAAGGAATACACAAATATCGTATTATTTGTTCTGGTTCTGGTACTGTAACTGTGATGCAATTCACACGTGCTTTGTGATGCAATCCGGATGGTATGTTTTTATGGGTTATCCCTTCTCACATGCAACTCGATTTGCAGCCATTGCGGAACCTTTCCCCCTTTACCCATTTCTTTTATAAAACTGAGCCTCGTTTTTTGTGTGTGTTCGAATCTTGTAGAAATCCTCCTTGAATAGTGGTACCTGTCACTGGTAATTTTTAGCTCCAAGAATGAGGCATCAGGGAGATGGGATTTCTTTGAAGGGTCGTTGCCCCTCTCTGTTTCGCCTGTGATTTCTTCATTACCCAATGCAAAACCAACGGCCCTTCATTACTAGTATCTAGTAGTAGTAGTGATAATAATAATAATCAGACTTCAGAATGCAGCTGATATTGAGCTTGTTCTTGTATGCTTTAGATTTTGTAAATGCTTATGGAAAGTGGCACTAGAGAATAATCATAATCAGCTGAGGCTACTCATTGGTGGATTTTGCATTTCAGATTTTTTGGCCATTAACAAATGTAAAATGCAGATGCAAAAAAACATTATAAAAAATGATTATCCAAAATTAGAATCTATGATCAGGTGAAATAATAGACTGAGAACAAGCCTGTTGTTTCTGCTGCTGCTGGTGTTGTTGTTTTTGCTCTTTGATGAATCCAAAACAGAAAGAGGGTAGAAGAAAGTAAAGGCTGTGATGATGTTTCTTATGAGCAATGGAATCAGGCATTGATTGATGAGAAGTTGACCCGCATCTTGGTAGGGCAACTCAGATGGCATACTGTTTCTATGGGAGTGGTTGATGACTGATTATGTTCCCTTTCAGGTAACCGGTGATTTGCAGCCATGGCGGTGTCACATACTCAATGCCTGATGTACAAATCTGAGCCTCATATTCATCTTGTGGGATTCCTTTTTCACATTACTGGTCTTATTGGAAATAGAGTTTTTTTTTCCCAGTTTAGTCTTCTAGCATTTATAGGTTGCTCTTTTTATTTTGATATTTTGTTTTGGTAGAAGGATTTTCTGATCTTTTCTTTTATTGTATATATATATTTTTTTCCTGAAACGTTAGAAGGTTTTCTTTTATTGTATATGCTTTTTGGTTTTTCTCATTTCTCTGCCAGCTTTTCTCATAACTGCATGGCCCAATATGAATGACCACCATGGCTTCATTGGCTTTTTGTTTCTATACACCAACACTGAGTTTTACTGGAAAGGGTGCTATTCTGCAAGTTTGTCAAGTGATTGATGCTGTCCTTGATATTAGGTTCAAGGAAGGAGGGGTGCCAATTTGATGGCGCTGGAGGTGGTTTGATAATCAGATCCAACTTGTATTTGAGTTGGCTCAGCATACAAGGGAGAATTTGTTAGGTGTATCTATGGGCTACTCCAGGTCTTGTTTGTAGGCAGCAGGTGCCCAACAACTACTCCCGTATTACAGTGCCTGTTGGTCGAGCTGCTCTTGGCCGTATCATAAGCGTCATTGGAGAAGCTATTGATGATTAGAGGTGAAATTAAAACTGAAATTATTTGCCAATCTGATGTTAGGCCTCAGCTTTCGCTGGTCAGTCTAGTGAACCAGAAATTCTTGTTACTTGAACTAAGGTTTCACAATTCTGCAGTTCTGCGCAGTTCAACTTGTCCTTGCACGTGTGTGATGCTATTCATGGCTCTTGTGATTTTGTGCTCTGTTAGAGAGTTTTCTAGTTTCTACTGTGCTAAATACTTCAACTGTAGTTGATATTTTCATTTTGGGTTTTCTTATTTCTGTCGTCTTATTGCAGATATCTGTGTTAAGTGTCTGTAGAATTGTTCTTTCTAAAACCGGTGTATTTCTTATTGAAATTTCTAGTGCAAATATGTAGGGCTAGTGTTGCTGCACCACACTCTTCTGATCATATTCTTGTTATTTATGGCTAGGTAAAATTATCTAGAATCGGATCAGTTTTAGTCTCTCCATGTACATCTTCAAGGAGATCAGTTTCTCTCTTCCCAGCTTCCTGCAAGGAATCATATATCCTATTTCCATTTGTCCACTTTCTCTGGATAGGCAGAGCTTATACTACATGGATCTTGGGACGATACTGAAGGGACCTTGGATGCCCCTCTCTTTGGCAGCAACATCTTCTCTTCAACATCATGCAAAAATGCTACCACAGCTTCCCAGTTCCCAGAGCCATGAAAATGAAAATGAATCCTGTCGAGAAAGAAAATAGAAAGGAAGCATTGGCCCAGTTGCAAAAACTAACCAACCCGGCCAAAAATTTATTACAAACTTCGCCAGGAACTTGTTTCCTTTGTGATTCTGGTTTCTCAAGTCCAAGCCCAGCCAAGCACTAATTAGAAGCATAGGTGAAATTTTTTTTTTTTTTTTTTAATCAAAATGCACATAAAAGGCATATACTCATAAAAATTTAAATCATTGTATTATACTTTTAACTAATCAATGTGCAAGGCAAATTTTATTTTTTGCCTTTTAATCCCTGAAAAGCAAAGTGTTGTTCCAAGCCAGTAACTGAGATGGGCTGCACCAGTAGATAAAGACGACTTGCCCAAAGCTCAGGAAACCAGGCAACAATGACTAGGTCAACCCAAATCCGACGAGTAAATTGGGAAAGTATTAAACGTATTTCCAGAGCACATTAACATCATTGTCACCCATACAAATATTACGCAGGAATGACTGGAAAAAGTGAAAACTGGGAGCTCCGAGACTGGAATGAGGCGAGCAGGGAGACGGGATTTCTTCAAGGGTGGTTGCCCCTCTCTGCTTCTTAGCCTGTGATTTCTTTCTCTATCACGTTACAGCAAAACCAGCATCCCTTCATCGTTTGAGAGAAGGGTTAATTACACTGAGCGCCTCCTTTTTTTTCGACTGAGTCGAACCAAACGGGCCCTTGTATTCATATTCCCTGGAAAACTTCCCAGGAGCTTTAGTTTGCGAGTTTAGGAAAGAAAAGAAAAGAAAGCATCAAAAAGGCTGTGATGATTACTTTTCATTCTCAGAATCGGAGCAAGTTTTTCTTTTGCAGGGTAATTTGAGGTGAACCGACCCGTATCTTGGCAGGGCAACCCTGATGGCCTGAAAATGGGGGATTCTTTCCCGTCTCCCTTTTGCATGCAACTGGGTTTTTGCAGCCATGGCGGTGTTTCTCTCCCTCTTTTGCTCTGATGAAAGATCTGAGCCATTTTCTTTGAGGCGAAATGAGGTAATCAGAGAGATTGGGATTTTCTTGAATTAAGGGTGGTTGCCCTTCTCTGTTTTGTAGTCTATGATATCTTAGTTGCATAAGTAAACAGCCCTTTGTGTTTTTTTGTTCAAGCGAGCGCTTTCGTGTAATAGTTCTGAGCCAGTGTGCTTTTGATGTTGATGATGATGATGATGATGATGATGATGATGATGATGGTGAATTCATAGTTGTTGTTGTTGTTGTTAGTGGTAGTGGTGGTGGTGGTGGTGGTAGTAAGTGGTAACACTACAACGAAATGAGCAAAGAAAATGAGAGATGGAAAAAGAGGCTATGATGATGCTATCGTAGTAACATTTCTTACGAGGAAATGAACTAGCATTGATGGTATAACCTGACCCGTGTCCTGGCGGGGCAACTGGATGCAACTTTTGGTTTTGCAGCCATGGCGGTGTCACAGTTCACAACGTCATCAATGCTTGATGAAATGCAAGTTCTGAGCCTTGTCTATGCTATTATAGAGGTCGGTATATGCATTTCTACTTCTTGAGTTGGTTATTTTATACTTGTGAGTGGAATGTGCAAGTATGGTGTTGTATTCCAATCTATATGGAAATAACCATTTACTACACAAAGTGGGTTCGAATACACGACCTTAAGTAATTAGTTAATCTTTCTTGACCAGAGGGTTCTATGGGAATTCCTCTTTCAACTCAAAGAATGAAAAGAAATGAGGGTGCAGAGAGAGTTTTGGGGAGTTTCCAAGGGTGGTTGCCCCTCTCTCTGCTATTTCCCAATGACTAATTTGAAGAAAAATATAACAGCCCTTATCAAGCAAAACCCAAAAATAAATAAATAAATAAATCAAAAGGAAAGGCATGACAAATGCCCTAGTACATTTTGGATCGTTGTCTGATCATCACCATTTGTCCGTCATCTTTTCTTTTTCTCTGTTAATATTGGCTGTGATGGTACGTCTTCTCTTGAGCTGCAGATCAGGCATGATGCTAATGGGACCGTATCTTGGCAGGGCAACCCTGATGATATGGGATTTTCCCCACATGCAACAGCGTTTGCAGCCATGGCTGTTCCCCTTCCTCTTTGCCTGATTTTGCTGCTCTACATCTGAGCCTTTGTTTTGATACATGCGTGTATGTGTGAGTTTTGTCCAAGAAAGGTGTTTGTTGCAACTTCTTTTCTGTTCAAAGTTGCTCTGGCAAGACAAATATTGCTCTGGAATTATGGTAACCCTTGAATTGTTAGTTGCACTTGTAAATTTAGTTCAAAAATTGATGCACCATAGAGATGGGATTTCTTAAGGGTGGTTGCCTCTCTCTGTTTTTAGCCTATGATTTCTTTCTTCATATCAAAGAAGCCAACAGCCATTGAGAGTTTAAAGCAAGGGTTAATTGTACTTACCACCCTTTTGTCACTGATGTGAACCAAAAGGCCCTCTTTATTGATATATCATGGAAAACTTCCAAGCCTCTAGTTTTCCAGTTTGAAAAAGAAATGAAAACATCAAAAAAGCTGTGATGATTATTTACTCTCCAAATGGAGCAAGTTTTTCTTTTGCAGGCATTTTGAGGTGATCCAGAACATATCTTGGCTGGGAAACCAGAATGATTCCAACAGAAGAGTCTGGTAAGATCTTGGCTGGGAAACCAGAATGATTCCAGCAGAAGAGTCTGGTAAGTATCTCAGATTTGCAGCCGCGGGAGCATCTCTTGGTCTCTTTGCCTGATCACAGACCAACACTAGTCTGTCCTCTTAGTGACCAAAATGCATTTTTCTTTCCTGGTATGTATCTCTCTTTATCTAGACAAACTTTGTTCTTGTACAGATCTGGGTGGAGCTGACGGGGTAACTCAGCTACTAGTTGTTTATCAACCTAAGTTGGGTGAACCTCAGTTAGATCCTCATTACCCATTCCTGTTGTTGCCTTAGACAGCAGTAGTGAAATCAGGTTACTACTATTGCTGGCAAAATGTAAAGGGATGGTCCACTAGGAAGTATCTGATCCACAAAAATGAGGGTGCAATTATGCACTGCTAATAGCTAGTATTGATTCAGAAGATTAAATATTGATCTTGGCAGGGAAATTCTTTTCTAGAAGTATTTTGATGTTTGGTGGTTCATAGGATATTGGATTATCAGCCATGTTGGTATTGTATTGGGTATCTCATATGCTTTGTTTCTCAACTTTGTTCTGAATATAGTCCATCTTTAAATTAAAAAGATCAAAGAAAGAGCAAAATTTTGTTCTGGTACTGCTTTTTCTTTAGTTCTATTTTTGTGTAAGCTTTGGTGCTCATCACTTTAGTCTATCTTTCCAAACGTGTACTACATTTTTTTTTTTGGACCTTTTGAGATGGATTCCTTCTGGACGTGAAATGCAACAACATTGCCAGTTATGAAAACCATACCTTTTTAAGAAAGGGGATGGGAAAGATACCTTGGAAAGAAAAGTAAGGGAAAAATCTGAAGCTGCACGAAGAAAAGGCCATTGGAGAATAGGACAGGACTGAAATCCACACTCATTTTGTGCCTCTGGGAAAACAGTAGCAATCCCAAAAAAGATGCAATGTCTTTGGCTATTTCTAGCATCAGCTGCTAACGCTGCATGAGCTTCCTTGGCAGGTGCTGCATTAGCTTCTTTGTCTGTGTGGTCTAGAGGGGGCTTTTTCTGCTACTTTTGCTAGGAGTTTTAAGGGATGCATTTGTTGGATCTTATGCCCTGATCGTCCTCTCATTGTTTCAGGGGTGGTATGTACCAATGGTAATTCTCTTTTAAGATTGTTTCACCTCTGCGAATCATCGCAGTTTAAATATAGGGTAATGACCCAAGTTGAAGTACCAACTCCATAGTTTTTTCGTATTTTTGCTATGACCGAATATTATCTGTTTATCTGTGTAGGCTAAAATATCGCAATAATCTGAAAAAGAAAAAGAAAATCTATGCGTCTTACGATACACGGAATCAATTAATCAATAATATTTCATACTGACTAGAATATCGTCCACTTATCTTTTCCAAATGACCATAAATCAAACACCATCTAAAATAAGAGTTTGTAGATTGCAGCCAGAAACTGCAGCTAGGCTGATCTGTTTTCCGGTGGTGGCATTGAAAAATTCTTGGCTACAGAGGCTTTTACCCTCAAGTGTAAGCGGCAGTTAACGAACTCAATTAGTCCAGGACACGGGGCTTTCAGCAAGAAGAGAACTGCACACCATTCTGGTTCTGTCACATATCTTTCTTTCCTGCATACGGCTTCCACAATTGATTTTGCACAAGCACTAGTACTCATGGCTGGCAGCTGATTAATTAAAGTCTGCATATAACCATAATCGTTTACATTTGAGGTTATATAAGATTGTATTCTTGTGTTTAATAGCAAAAAAAATGCGTAGTTACAAAATTTAAATCCAGACATCTGCCAATTCTGGGCTTACTTCGGTAGTCCCTTCTCTGTTCAAGTGCTTTCCTTTGGTCATCTCGGACTCTACGAGGCTGAGAGTTGCAGTAGTTATCGATATTTCTGGAGGCATTTCAGATCTCATCGTCTCGTAGAAGCTCACCAAAGCTGCTTTACTTGCCTAAAAGATTTTGAGGTAACTTGGAACTATTTACTGGTGCCAAAAGGTTAGAAGACAGGGAGTATATTTTAAGTTTCTTACAGTGTAGATGCTGAATCCTGATGGATGCATATATGCACTGGCTGATGCATTCACAGATATCGATCCCTTGGTCCTCTTCAGATAGGGCATTGCTTCAAAGAATTAATTGGCCAATAACAATGCAGCTGCACTAATAGCATGTATTTTTTAAAAATCACTTAATGTGGTAATTGGTGGGAGGAAAGTTAGTTATTGGTATTCATTTATGATTCAATTAGTCTGTTGCATTAAGCTGAATATATGCTACTCTAGTAGTATTTTGTAATGAACAAGCTTGATGAATAAGAAATCTACACAATTCTACCTCCTCTCTCAACTCTCTCTCGTTCTACTTTCATTTCTTGCAATTCTGTTTAACTCAAGAACTGCAATTTTGTTTAACTCAAGGACTCCAGTTCTTCACATCATTCTAACCTTAAATTGTCAAGCGAGTTAAAGTTATCCTTCTCTTCTTGAAATTTGAGCTTGTTTGTTAATTAAAGGATAAAGGTAAAATATCCTTTATCTCCTATTGTTTAGCGATTTTTCACATAATCCTTTGTGATGTGATTTTGGAAGTTATAACATAGCTCTTTTATGATTTCAACTATAGTGTCAAAACAACGGAAACGATCCTCTGTAACGAAACTCATAGAAATATCAAGATTATCCTTATTTATAAACTAAAATGGTTGGAGTGATCAAAATATATAAATATAATATACATGATATTTTAGCCCCTCATGGTTTTATATTTTACCATATAACCCTTTTATAGTTTAATATTTTACCACATTACATTCTTATGGTTTCCAAAATATATACGTAACCCTCTTTTGGTTGATAAATAATTTTCAACTTTACATAGAGGTGTTTTTGACATTTTAGTTGATTCTATTATGAAATATAGATTCCGATATTTTGATACTTTAATCCAAACCATGAGAGATTATATATAATTTTTGAAATTATAAGGGGATTATATGAAAAATACCAAATTATAGGGAGATAAAATGTAATTTATCCTAAATTAAATTATCTAAAAAAATAGATTTGTTTTCCAGACATGTAAAATAAGGAAAATAAAATTAGAAAAACTTGTAACACTCCATCCTCCCTTTAAAAGCATAAAGGAAGGATGGAATGTTGGACGCTCATTAAGGAGTGCCAATAACATTTGTGAAAAATAATCATTCCAATTTTAGGCATGTAAATGGGAAAATTCTATAATCCCTTTTGATTACCATTCCCTCAACTTAAATATCACACTAAAGATAAATAGTTTAAATTTTGAATATTTAATAATATTTAATTTAATCATCAATAACACTTTGTTTACGATTTAACAGTGTGAATTTCACTTGTAAATATAATACTCAGAAGAGACGGTAAAATCTCCCTACTTTATATGTGCTACTTGACATTGTCCCGATCATTCATCATATTCATTAACTATTGCTGATGAACAATACTTTATTTTCCTCAAAAAAAAAAAAAAAAAAACCCTACTTTGTTTCCAAATTCCCGTCACTCCCGCACGACCTATGCAGCACCTTCTAAATTACGCTTTTAGTCCATTAAAGTCAAGCCAACTCGGGTAACAAAGCGTGCCAGGTAATTACGGTTTAATTTGATCCAAAAAAAAAAAAAAAAAAACCTTTAAAGCCCAAGTACTCACCCGAAGAAAGATTCTGACCGCAAGGAGTCTGCTCCGGGAGGCTAAGAACGAGGCAATGGAGAAAGATGGGAATTCTGTAAGGGTGGTTGCCCCTCTCCGTTCTGCCCATGACTTCTTTTTTTCATTTTCTTGAAAGAAAATGATAATAACCAACAACCCTTTAATCTTTAGTCTTTCTTTTGCTGTTTTCTGGGATAATTTCATAAACCTCCCCTGAGCTGTTTCTGTGGAGTACTGCTACTGATTCTGATGATTCTAGTTCTACTCCATACCTTTATCAAACGGCCCCTAATCCTTTGGAAGATCCTAAGTAGAAGAATAAGGCTGTGACGATCTCCGTCTTGTTAAATTCTCGGAGCAAGTCGGGCTTTGATGCATGCTGACCCGTATCTTGGCGGGGCAACCCGGATGGCGTTGTGTTAAGGGTGCCAGAGGTTGGCTTTTCTTCCTTACTCGCAGCAACCGGAGTTTGCAGCCATGGCGGTGTCACATTTTCTTTGCCAATTACACAAATCTGAGCCTTCCACTCTGTTTTTTTCACTCATTTTATCTGTTTATTCGTTGAGTGTGTTCAATTGGGTACTAAAGTTTTTGCTTCAGATGATTTAATTGTCAGTCAATTGTTTGATTTTTGGGTTGAGATAACTGTCGTTAAGATTACTTTTGGCATGTCGTCAAATACTACATGAACAAAATTCAACCTTGATTTGGGATTTCCTGATTTTTATACATGGTCAAGGCTTCAGTCCTCCCTGTTGGATGTGTTTTCGTAAACCACTTCTTTTGGTGATTAGTGAAGTTAGACCTTCTACATTTGTGGGCTTCTAGCTTAAACCTATCCTTTTGCAAAATCAGGCTTTTCTGTGTTGAGATTGTGGTTTTGCATGTTAGCAAATTTTATCTCCATTAATGTTGCTCTAAATTTGCTGCTGTCGTGGTCCTTCCCAATTTTATTTTGTATTTCAGTTTTTTTGTGAATAGTTCATTGTTGGAAATTAGCTCTGTGCAAAGTTTGTGCTTGGAGAGTTTTCATTTCTTCAGTACAGGTTTCTGTATATACTTGCTGTTGGTTTTAAACAAAAAAAAAAAAAAAAAAAAAAAAAAAAAAAAAAAAAAAAATCTTTTACTTAGTACTGTATATTTTGCATTGAATTTTGTATCTTTATGATGTCATGAGCTGAATCATGGCTTCAGTAGCAGAAATTTCGCATAAGTTGCACAATTGTTGCTTAGAGATGCGTGCTATTTATGTTCAAGCTCAGACAAATAGGAGGGTTAAATAATATGAGTGGAATATGAAACTTTGGTGCCTAAAACAATCAATCTTGAAGCACCAATGCAACATGTAAACATATACATCATATTTAAAAACTTGCCAGTTTCAAGATAGGGTAATGACCCATACTGAAGTACTAATGGTATTTTTCTCTTTAGAATTTTCACCTCTAAGTTCTAAGCCATACAATAGGTTTTGTGTCATCACACAGTTCCATATTTTTTTTTTGTCTCTTGCTTAATCTCATCGCTCTTAAATTTTTTTGTTGTCTCTTGCTTAATCTCATCACTATTACACGAACCTCAAATATCAGAATGGTTTTGTTTGTCGCTGGCCAAACATTTTTTTTGACTTACATTTCACAAGAAAGAGAATTGATGTGTCTTATACACAGAGTCAATTATTCAATATTAGGTGAATACCATCTAGAATCTCTGGTATTATGACGTGCTAATTTGGAGCTTGGTAGTGTTAGAGGTTAGAGTTTCAGAACACGACTCATTCTTCACCTTTCTGAGATGGAAATGACCTTAAAGTACCATCAGAAATTTAGTGTTTGTAGACTACAGCCAGATGTTGCAGCTTGTCCATTTTTTTTGATTCTGCAGCTTGTCTGTTTTATGTTCTGATGGTGGCAAGGAAGAATTTTTAGCTAACCAGGCTTTCATTTGCAAGCTGTACGTGTGGTTAGCGAACTCAATTAGTTCAGGACAGAAGGTTTTCAAGAGGAAGAAAACTCGCCACCATTTTGGTTCTGTCACATATCTTTCTTTCCTGCATATTGCATCCACAATTGATTTTGCACAAGCACTAGCACTAGCACTCATGACTGGCAGCTGATTAATAAAAGTCTGCAAACATCCACAACCACCATTTACATTTGATGTCATTTAAGATTGCATTCTTGTGCTTAATAAAAGAAATTTGACATCTTTATTAGGTCCAGGTATCTTACATTTGCCGAATCTGAGTTTACTTGAGTGATTCCTTCTCTGTTGAGGTACTTCCCTTTGGACATCTCTGGCTCTATAACACCAAGAGTTGCAGTAGTTATCGAGATTTCTGGAGCCAGTTCAGCTCTCATTGTCTCGTAGATGCTGAGCAATGCCGCTTTACTTGCCTGAAAAATCATTAGTGCAGTTTAAAAGTATTTACTGGCAGCGAAAGTGTTAGCAGGCATTGAGTGCATTTATGTTTCTAACAGCATAGATGCTAATTCCTGGTGGATTCAAATGTGAACTAGCTGATGCATTCACAAAAATTGACCCCTTCGTTCTTTTCAGGGAAGGCATTGCAAAGTAAATCGGACAGACTGATCCCCAAAAGTTCACATCCTGTACCATTTGAATAATGTCAAACTTGGTTGTACGTTTATGCGGGCATATATACCAGAATCATGAAATTACCATAACTGGCTCAAATTCTGTATTTCAATAGCATTTTCAATCAGGCACATAGAAGCAAATCCTGCATTGTTGACGAGATGATCTCCTACAAAGACTGATTGGAGTTCTACTCGTATTTGTATCATAAAAGGTAGACGTTGAAAGACTCAAAACCAGGTGAAATTTTCAGCACATTAGCCATTATCATCTACTGAAAACCAGACGGAGTTATTACTGAGTCCTAGTGTAGGAATCTATCGAACTCTAGCCTAATTGAATGAAGGAGATGGGACGAAAGGATGCACTACCTAATTTGAAGGCTACTGAACTGTTTTAGCTAGAGGGGTACTATGATAATAAAACTTCTATTAGCAAGATGTGGCAACATCTTTATCAGGCATTAACATGGAGTTTTTTATTTTTTGGTTGACAAGGGAACCGCATCTGCTACTCGAGAGTGTGTATCAGATAAATCCTGTCTCGTGTAATAGTCCGTCAACCACACAGAGGGGTAAAATGCAAGGTTTCTCACGGAGTAGATACTGAATCCTGGTGTATTCATAATTGGACTAGCTGATGCATTTGCAAAAAATTGACCCCTTTGTCCTTACCTTTCAGGTAAGGCATAGCAAAGTAAGTCGGATAAACTGATCCCCAAAAGTTTTTTTCACATCCTGTACCATTTGAATAATGTCAAAATCTGTTTTGGGTATATCTGGATAATATATACCGGAATCATGATAATTACCATCACTGGCTCAAATTTCGTAATATCAGTAGCATCTTCAATCAGGCATATGGAACCAATTCCTGCATTATTGACCAGATGATCCACAGCTAAACAGAGATTGATTAGGCTTTTTCCATACTTCTACACGTAAAAAGGAAGACATTACAAACAAAAACCAGAATATAATAGTAGTACCGGAAATACTACTCTCTATTCATGCCAATCACTCTATCTAGCTTATTACCATATGCTTATTAATTAGTATTATGTTAGAGATTAAATTATGTATAGTCTTTTTGGACATTATATAAAATATTATATGATATCCCACCAACTGGATTTGGGTTCTGGGAGGCCCAAATTTAGGTTTGCCTCGAACTCCTGATAAGAGAAAGAGTAAAAGGGCTCAGGCTTTGAGCCCTTGATCAATCCAACAATCAAGAATGGGGTTTGACAGGGAAGAGTATCCTTATGGAGTATTATATATCTAACCCCTCGTCCAAACGATGCTTTGACATTTTCAGCTCTCTAAGAAAATGAGGGGAACAGAGGGATTGGGATTTCTGTGAGGGTGGTTGCCCATCTCTGTTTCTTTGCCTGTGATTTCTTCTCGGTCTTTTGAAAACCAACAGCCCTTCTTCGTGGAACAGTTCTTTTCTCAGCTAATGACTTTAATACTCCCATGTGACTTTCCTGCGAAACAAACGGAGCCTTAACGATCTCTAACGTCTTGCTTCTTCTTGACATGACTGACCCTTGTACTTCTTCTTCTTCTTCTTCTTCTTCTTCTTCTTCTTCATCTGCTTCTAAGGCAACAAGAGGGCTATGATGATTTAACTTGTAGAGCAAATGGGTAAGTGTGTTTGAGGCAAATCCAACCCGTATCTTGGCTGGGCAACCCGGATGGCAAATGTGAGGGAGAGGGGGAGAGGAGGGGTTTGAGTGGATCCATCCCTCTTTCTGGGGTTGGGTCCTCTGTCTGTTTAAACTTTCAATGTTTTCCTCACATCACGTTGCAACCGGTGTTGCAGCCATGGCGGCGTCATTTTCTCTTTCCCTGACCTAATTTAGACATATCTGAGCCCTTAAAACTTCAAAAGTGTCCGGCACCAGTGTAGGAAAATGCCGTATAAAATGTTGGTTTTTGTTATTGGTTGAATTTGCACTTTTAGGTTGTTTCGCCTCTCCCTTAGGCTTTGCATATATTTGTGTCAGGTTAGTGTGGAGTTAGAGGTCTCAGCTTTTACTGGCTAGGTGGTGCCGTGGTGGTAGTAACTGGTAACAAGGAATGTTTACACTTGCCATAACGGTCCACTATTCAACATGTCCTTGTCAAGTCAAGATGGTAATATCAAAGTTTTGTTCCATTGTAAGAGTATTCTTGGAAAATCAGGTGCTGATGAGCAATTGGATACCACTGCAAAATATTACTACTACTTCGGCCTTGAATCTAATTTTTGGAATTCCCTTCTGGAATGTTTCGAAAGTGTACCATTCCCTTGATTTACATCATGCTGTTCTTGTGATAATTCAGTTGGTCATATTGCTTGTTTTGTCTCCTGACTTCTGTCCAGCATTTGAGTTCATATGTTTGGCAAAAAGACTAGCAGCCACTGCACCTCACGCTCACCCAAGTCTTCTCCTTCTTGGCGTCTATATAATTGAAATTCAATTCCCAAATGAAGAATCCAAACAAAGTAAATCATCTAACTTGAGACCATTTTTATCAAATTGTAGTTTTAGAATGAAACATGATGACCTGATTTGAACAACGGGATGGTTGGTGTCTGTGAACTGTTTAAAGATGTCAGCTTTCGTTTTATGAATCTTCCACCTCTGTTCTCTCTATATGATCTAATATAAGCTGTTACGCTGATGAATATAACCAAGAATTTTTGCTTCTCCATGAAAAACAATGTCCCAAAACAGATACTTAATTTGCATGTTTCGTCACACAAAAATAGAACCAATTGCCGACTCCAACGACAATGATCACCGGCTTTTCATGGCTTGTGCTGGGATGATGACTTCATTAGGAAAAAGATTATCTAGAGTTTGCACGCTACAGCCAAAAGATGCAGCTAGTCTGATTTACTTTGTGAACGAGGAGGCACTGGAGTAGCCTTTGCTCCCCAGGATTTTATCTTCAAGCAGTGTTGGTAGCTAGCCCATTCAATTAGTTCAGGACATAATATCTTCAGCAGGAATAGGACCTTGCACCATTTGGGTACTGTCACATATCTTTCTTTCCGGCATACCGAGTCCACTATTGCTTTTGCACAATCAGGGGAGCTCATGGCTGGCAGCCGATCAGCATCTATAAAAACCTGCACAAAAACATAATCACCACAATATTCAATGAATTGCTCATTTTAGATGAACTTCTCTTTTTGATTATATTGTTGAAGTACCTAATTACCCAAGAGAACTTTCAAACTTTTTATAAACTATATGATCAGATGTCTCACATTTACCAACTCTGAGTCAAATTCTGTAGTTCCATGCTTGGTCATGTGTTTCCCTTTGGTAATCTCTGACTCTACAGGACCAAGAGTTGCAATTGTTATTGAGATTTCAGAAGCCAGTTCAACTCTCATCGTCTCGTAGAAGCTGACCAAAGCCGCTTTACTTGCCTGAAAAACCAATTATATACTACGACATTTTCGAACAGTTTACCTGAAAAGAAAGCCAAATACGTCCCGAACAGAATAAGCTCATGCAAAGTATCTTACAGAATAGATGCTCAATCCTGGTGGGCTCAAAACTGCAGCTGATGATGCATTAACCAAGATGGATCCCTTGGACCTTTTCAGGTGAGGAATTGCAAAGTAAGTCGGATAAACAGATCCCCAGAAGTTCACATCCTGAAAATTCGAAGTACATGGAACTTGGTTTAATAGATTGATTCCTACATTCTCTAAACAGTCAACTCATGATGGTTAATTACCGTAACAGGTTGGAGGTTTGTAATGTCAGCTGCATCTTCAATTAAGCACATGGAGACAATTCCTGCATTATTGACAACATGATCCACTGCAAATAAACTGATTAGTGATTAGGCTCTTTTGTAAAACTCTATACGCTTCTTGCAAAAGTTGGTGATGGAAATAGTTACATCTGCCAAAATGGTCAACTGTTTCCTCAACAAATCTCTTGCAGTCATCGACCTTGAGTACATCTGCACATATGGGGACAACGTCCGGCGAGCCAAGTTTCCGGGCATTTTCTGCCACCTCCTTGAGGAGATTCTCCCTCCTGGCAACAATAACTAGACAAGCTCCTCTTTTTGCATATTCATATGTCAAGTGCTGCATCCATATGAATATTCATCATTGATCATTCTTCTAGAACTTGATGGGATAGTAAATGGTAATCACAAATGATCAAGAGCGACTGAAATGGAACCGTGAGAACAAAATCGTGGATTCGAACGTACCTCTCCAATTCCTGATGATGCACCTGTGATTAGAACTACTTTTCCCTTGATGTCTTCGGTTGAAAAGTATCTGTAGAAAAACATCAGGAACTTGTAGATGCTGAAGAATGGTAACAGGATCCAGAGAATGGTCTGGATGACGATCATACGAATCGTTCGTGAGAGAGCCATAGTTGACCAGCTGCTGTGGCCTATCTGATTAAGAATGTAATTTATTTTCTAAAGAGTTGGTTAGGCGTGCAGATGTTGTCTAGTTAAATACGCATTCAGTCACGTAAAAATAGGCCATTTCCATCTCGACCCAGATTAAGAAGGGTAAGTTAGTGTAGTCAATGCAATTATTTTTACGTAATAGTACTTTCTTCATGTATCCCTCAATTAATACTAATTTTAGTGCTGTATTTATTACTCTTATTAATAAATATTTATTAAAAAAAGATGCACATTAAATATGAGCATAGTGTGATAAACAAACTATGCGCCTCATTATCTGTTAGGTGAACATTTCAAGTTTTTTTTTTTTTTTTTTTGGCTAGAAAATAGTACAAGTCATGTTTTGAAAGTATTCTTTTTTGGTATTTTGAACTTTTTTTCGATTAAGTATGTTTTGAAAATGCTTATTTTAACAATTGCCTCCTCAATTAGTTAGTCTACTTTTTTGTAAATTGATTGATAAATGTGGTCAGGAAAATTGGGAATGAAGTATAATGTACTACATTAGAATTTTAGAATAAAGAAATATTATCAAGAAAATTTTCATCTTTCTCTTTTAAACTCATTTTCACTTACAATTTGTAAAGATTTTGTGAAGACTATCATATTTTTCCAGCATCATTTTTTTTTAAGCATCAAAGGAGATAAGTGTAATTTTTTAAACACCGGGGAGGTGACCTGCAATTGTAGAAACCTCAGTCAAAGAAAATAAACGGTCTGAGCGCAGACGGCTACAGAGGCCCAGAACAGAAGGGAAGGGGCCTCGCAATTTGCAACACTTTCCATTTCCAACCAGTTCGAGCCTTCGAGGCCATACAGAATTGAGTGGGATTCCTTCTTGGCAAATGGCTCGGTCTGCCCAACTTATTGCCTTCATTCTTTTTCTCTCTTTCTGGATTGTATGCCTATCCTGAGGGGATCAAGTTGAGAGGGAGATGGGGCCTCTACGAGTCCTTTCCTTTCCAGCTTTCCTTTTGCTTCGATCCAAACGGTGCCTTAAGATTTCAGCTCTGTGAAGAATGAGGCTGTCAGAGAGACTGGGGATTTCTTCAAGGGTGGTTGCCCCTCTCTGATTTTTAGCCTATGATTTCTTTTTTTCATCATCGACCATCTGAAACCAACAGCCCTTCAGATGCAGTTTTCTGCTTATGATTAATCACAGAAACCCCCCTTAAAGTTTTGGTACCCAGACCTTTCATAAATAGCAGCATTACTACTACTAGTAGTCTAGTATTGATTCTGCTCATCTTCTCGAGAAGCCTGCTTGTCTGAAGGCTGTGATGATTCTTTAACTTTCAGAGCAAATGTGTCAGTGGCTGGAGGCAAATCCGACCCGTATCTTGGCTGGGCGACCCGGATGGCATATATGATGTGGAGGTGGAGAAGATGATCCATCGCATTGCAACCGGTGTTGCAGCCATGGCGGTGTCACTCTCTCTTTGCCTGACCTCATTAGATACATCTGAGCCTGAACCTTGATCATTTTTCCCCCTTGATGGCGTCATTTTTTTCTGAAAACAAAAGCAAGTGCTTTGGTTACTTTCAAGAAATTGGGCTCTTTTTTTTTTTTTTGGGTTGGGTACACTGAGGAATGAAGTTAAATTAATGCAAAATTGCAGTTTACTCTGCATGAATTCGTTAGTTCTGGTTAGGTAATTCTAAAAGTAAGATGGTTTACGCTTTAGCATTCGGTACCATTGAAGTTACTATTTATCCTTTTTTTTCCTGTTTTTTAGCATCATTATTGTCATGCAGCTCCACAAGCATATTTGAACAAGGAAGATTTATTACCAAATGCTTGTACTCGTTAATGTCGATGTTGCTTCTGTCTCTGGATTTGGCGTTGAATGATGTATCAGGTCAAAGTGGATTCTTGTCTCTTTTTTTTCTTTTTTTTTTTTTTGTCAGACATGGGGTGTCCGGAATCATCGGGCCGACTAATCCCTTGCAGCTGTGAGAGCTCCGCCCCAAGGTTCACAGCGCGTTAGCTCTCCCGAGGGTTGATCCAATGATCTGCCCCGGAACCATTGGGCCCAACTAATTTCTTGCGACTGTGAGAGTCCTGTCCCAAGGTTCACAGCGCGTTAGCTCTTCCAAGGATCGATCCAATGACCTGCCCCAAAAGAGGACTACGGAAACCAGTCGATCGGCGGGGGCAAAGTGGATTCTTGTCAAGCAGTAATATTTTGGCTCCACTTTATTAAGCTGTTTGAAAATATGGTATAACCTCAACCATTTTCACCCATGCTCAGTTCTGGGAAATATATAGAATTATATAAAGTGTTGCTGGACTGTGAAAAGAGACAAAGGAGGAGGGTAAAAATGAAAAATAAGTTGACAAGAAAATGTGTCGTTTCCCTTGTCTGGGATTCAGTTGAATTAATTAATTACATCCAAACTCACAGCTTTGGCTTATGCTGCACTATCATTTAATGAGTGTGTTTGGACAGCCAATTATTTGGCCAAATATATTTGCTGACATCACCATTACAATTTTCAATACACCTTTTTATCTTTCCAATTACCTTTTTATCTCACATACATCACATCACAAAAAGTGCTACAGTAAAAATATTTCAAATAACTTACAATCCAAACACACTCATTAAGAATCAAATAGAACATAGTAAATCTGCATGAAATTTGTTCACTATTCAAATACTTGTACATTTTGCTTGCTAGCGTAACTCTGTGCTAGGCTGCTAATTGTCTTCTTACTAGTGTGATTGAACTTTCAGACGGGATAATTACACAACAAACTGGGTCGGGCTTCTTGGAAGCCCATTTGCCCTCGTGGTAAACCGCACCCCAATTCCAAGACCGCCTAAGAAACCGAAAAAAAAAAAAAACACGTCTCAAACCCAATTCAAAGGGTTGATGCCTGGGCCACAGAGTGCAGGACAGCAATGGCATGGGGCCTCGCAATTTCTGGCACTTTCCATTTCGGACCAGTTCACAGCTGAACCGAAGCACTTTCCATTCTTTCCCAACTTTTTGTTTTGATGACTTCTGCGAGTCCTTTCCTTCCTTCGCTATTGTCTTCAATCCAAACGGTGCCTTAAGATCTGAGCTCTGTGAAGAATGAGGCTATCAGAGAGGTTGGGATTTCTTCAAGGGTGGTTGCCCCTCTCTGTTTCTTCTTAGCCTATGATTTCTGTTTTGCCATCAGTAAACTAAAATCCAACAGCCCTTCATCTTTTCAGCAACAACATTCAGTTCTGGTCTTTGAACCCGGGTTCGATACCTCTCACTTAGACAGAAGAAAAAAAAAGGGGTACATTGAGCGGTTGAATCCGGATTGTTCACAAATCCTTGAAAGCCCAAATCATGCAATGTAAGGCACGCAGTCCTTGAAGCTTCATCTTACTCACTCAAAATTCACTCATAAGCTGAAAAAATTAGTGCAATAAAATACCCAACTCTGTCTAATAAGCTTCGCACCATGGCTCCAAGCCTTTGACAGGTAAAGCATCTCAAATTTCCCTGAGCTTCTGCTCTCAGAAAAATGGGATCGGCAAAACGGCCTAGCACTACTGCTACTACTATTATTGAGTTTGCTCACTTTCTCGATAAGCCCGCTTATCTGAAGGCTGTGATGATGATTTTAACTTTTTGAGGGGATCCATCCATCTTTCTGGGGTTGGGTCTCTCTCTGTTTTCTATGTCAATGTTTTCCTCACGTCACAATGTCACATTGCAACCGGTTTTGCAGCCATGACGGTGTCATTTTCTCTTTCTGATGCCTTTAATTTTTGCCGTAAATTGGTCTGAAATGGAACTTGTGAGGCCCCGTTTCCCTTTCTGTCACCATTGTTCTGTATTCTCTTGGCTGCAATGATGATTTTTCTTAGTTGTGATTTGAGCATGGAGGAAATCGTGGACCCGTATCTTGGTGGTGCAGCCCTGATGGCATGTGAGATGAGAAGAATTTAAAGATGGGTTCTTTCTTCTCTTTCATGCAACTGGGCTTGTGCAGCTACGGCGGCGTCTTTCCTTTCTTTTTTCCCTGATCAAAATTAAACATCTGAGCCTTCTAAGGTTTATGCTCTGCCAGTGTTTGTGGGCATTCAAAAACCTTGAAATTTTAGCTCTCTGAAGAATGAGGCACCAGAAAGATGGGATTTTTTAAAGGGTGGTTGTCCTCTCTGTTTAGCCTGTGATTTGTTTCGTATGAAAACCAACAGCCCTTTTACAGCCTCGTTTGGTTGGGAGTATGGAATGGGAACTGGAAAGGGAATGCATTTATATAGGGAAAGTGTCTCTATCACAACTTCCCATGCGTTCTTTTTTTGTTTCATATGTTATGACAATGACAATGATGATGATGATGCATTGAAGGTAGTGTTTATTTAAAGAAAATGAAAGGCTGTGATGATATTTCTTGTGAGAGCAAGTGATATAGGCATTGACGGTGGAATCTGACCCGTATCTTGGCTGGGCAACCTAGATGGCATTTTGGTCGAAAACTCCCTTTCTAACATGCAACTGGTGATTTGCAGCCATGGCGGTGTCATGGCACCAATGCCAGGTTAAGTATGGATCTGAGCCTTGTTTGTGATGTCTACCTGTTTAAGCCATATTTACTGCTATACATCTTTTGGCTTTTCTCGTTTTACTGCTAGCTGTAGTTGGATAGTTATTCCAGGACGTCTGAAGTTTGATTCACAAGTCTGATGATTGATGACTCTGATTGTCAAAAAATACTTCACTTTTTCAGCACCGTAACTTGTAATTATCTTCCAATATTCAATGGACAAACATGATAACTTTTTGAAAGCACGCTTGTTTTGTATGTGGAGTGCGTTTAGTTAATTAATTACGTCTCATGTGCTAACATTCAATTTTTTGAAGTAATCTTACGTGAAGGAGTTTGCATTCCTATGGTTGATTGTAGCTGCTGCTGTGATGTTACGCGATTAGCTTTTACTTGGTTGCTACATACATACGAAGTAAGAATTTTGACCCAAACTTGATTTGAACCTCTCCAATGTTGCCTTGATGTCAAAGTAAAGATCTGAGCCATTTGCTTCAATGTTTTTTTGTATTTAGGACGAAAATGTTAATCACATATAAGATTTTCTTAGATGTGGTGATAGCTATTGCTTCTAGAGCTGCTTATTTGCTGCGAAGTCTGAAAGTATCAGCCTTCCTCTCAAATTTTCTGCTCAAAAAATGAATGAGGCAACAGAGAGGGATTGGGATTTTTGTAAGGGTGGTTGCCCACTCTCTATTTTAGCCAATGATTTCCTCACCCAAATAAACCAACAGCCCTTGTTGTAGCAGGATCAAGCTAATCCTTTCTCTGTATCATTTCAATTTTTTACAGTATCCTTCCACTTCAAAATAAGCTGTGGTGAAATGTTTCCGAAGCCAGTGTGGTCAGGCATTGAGGTGCTGACCAGTGGCCCCTATATATTTTTGGCAACCTGGATGGCAGAATTGGGGTGGGGGGATGAGGTTCATTCTCTTCCCTCTCTCAAATGCAACCGTTATTGTAGGATTATGCATTTACTGATTGTTGAAGCAAGAAAAACTTACCCCAATTCTCCCTCTACTCCTTATTTTTCTCCTCTCCTAAACAACACCAAACTAGGCCTTTCTTAATATATGCCAGCAATAAAAACAAGCCTCAAGATGGATATCAATGGTCTTCAGGATAAAGAAGAATGAGGCAGCAGAGGATGGGAATTTGTTAAGGAGGTGGCCCATCTGGATGCCAACAATTTCATTATTCACCATCAGTTAAAGATGGACGGAACTAACAGCCCTGTTAGAAAATAAGGGGATGCCTTATAAAGCAACAGTGCGTCTTCTCCTGTTCAAATAATTGGCTATGATGATGATGTTTTCTTTATCTGTGACATCAAGGTAAAGCTGACCGATGTCTTGGCAGGGCAACCTGAATCATGTGTGAGATGAGAAGGATTCGAAAATGGGTTCTTTCTCACTTGCATGTAATTAGGTTTTTGCAGCCATTGCGGTGTCCTCCTTCCTCTGATCAAAAGAATAGATCTGAGCCAACTTTCTTTACTGTTGCTTATTTTTGGCTTGCTAGTACTGCCTGCTATTATGGATTCGTTGAAATTTCAGCTCTATGAAGAATGAGGCATCAAAGAGATGGGATTTTTTTTTGAAGGTTGGTTTTCCCTATCTGTTTACACCTGTGATTTCTTTCTTGTCAAATCCCATAGGCCTTTAGAATCCTTATTTGGTTCCTTAACGAGTAATGGGAATTGGAAAGTGTCTGTATAAGATTTTTTTTTTTTTTGGTATATTTGTTGTTTTCTCTGGTGAGGATATTAATATGTTGACGATGATTTTTGGCATTTTGTTTTTGAAAAAATAAAAGGCTGTGATGATATTTTGTGAGAACAAGTAATTCAGGATTTATGGATGTATGGAACCCGTTTCTTGGCAGCGCAACCTGGATGGCTTTTTGGGTCGTGATGAATTGCTTTTTATACGCCCTTTATGACATGCAACTTGTGATTTGCTGCCATGCTTGTCTCACAGCGTCAATGCCTGGTCAAATACATTGTCCGTGTAGTGTCTTGTCTTGATATGCATGCGTATTCTGCTCTACTTGTATATTGCTGGCTGTGTTTGGATACTTAATTTCATTAGAGGTTTTGAGTTCAATTCTCTGGTTTGATGACTGATGAGTTTGATTGGTAAAAAGAGAACAATTTTTACCAATGTAAATTGGAATCATCTTTTTATATTTACCAGAAAAACATCTATATGGAACATTAGTGCTGTTTTATTTTACTAATCAGTAGCTGTGAAAAACTTTTGGGAGTGATTTCAATTAATGCCATTGTGTTTGATCTAACATGTCAACACAAAGTTTTTTAAGATTTTCTTCTCTCAATGATTTTGCTAGTTCTTGGTTGGCAGTGGGAGCTGCCATGTTTTGATACTATTTTGTATTATTTTGGTGGTACGTGATAAGTTCTCTATCTACCCCAGACGGTATTTCCTTTTATCTAATGCCTGAAATCAAAGTTTTAGGCGGGATCTTTACGTCTTGTTCAGAGCCTAAAAGCTCAGAAAATGGTGATGTCTTCTCTGTATGAGGATATAATATGCATGCACATATGGTAATTCTGTAAAAGGAGCTTGTGAAAGTAGTAATTCCCTTTCCATCTATAGCATCAGCAGCTACCACTCTATGTTAAGTTTCAGGTTGCTCTCTCTCATACCTATCTAACCCCAACCTCCCAGCCCCCCAAACCCCCCTCCCTTGCACTTCTGTATTAGCTGTTATGTAATTTTATCTGCTAAAGAGGATTAAAGGCTGCCTGTTGGAGGTTCGAATCTTCTCTTTTTTGCAACTTCCGTGTTGGTACACTGCTCAAGATTCTCGAACCTAGGATGACCGCCTTTACCGTGCACTTCTATCCTCATAACTCTGCTCCACTGGGGGTCAAAGAAGTAGGACTTGTGCAGGAATTGGCTGGCTACTGAACGAGTGGGAAAGATCAGATTTTTTTTTCCCCCTTAATTGGTCGTGCACGAGCATTTTCCATAAACACTTTGCAAACTTTTCGCTCAAGGTTTATAACCGTGTCTCACCATGTTTTGTCTTGGTAATTTTAATAATGTGTTTTTTTTTTTTGTCAATTGTCATCCTTACTCCTGCTCTAATTCTAATTAGGGAGGAGGTCCATCGGACCAGACGAGTGGCATTTTGAAGCAGAGCCACAAGAGTGGCATTTTGAACCCTTGCCTCCCATCTCACCAAAGCCTTAAGGGCTTGCTGGTGGTTGTGTTTTTCTTCACTTGATACTAGGAAAAATAAAGGAGAGAGAGATGATTTTGATAGTTTTCTTTGGGGGCAAAACTCTCTGTTAGGTTGTGGGTCGAGAGAAGGGGACGGTATGAAATGGTTGAACATTTAAACTCTGAAAAATGGAAATTATGCCTCAATTCTCTGCAGCATGGTTCTACGGATTTAGGTTTAAAGGACAATAAGCTTTTAGACTGAGTTGATAGCTTACTAAAAAAAAGTCAGTGATCCTAACAATATATTTAGTTTCCAGTGTTCAGCTGCTACAAATCCAATCGCTGGTTCTTTTTCTTTATGTCAAGGATGGAACTTGAGCGCCCTTTATCACCACAATTTCATATATTTTTCAATAAGATATATATATTAAAAAAGAGGGAATTATCGAGTGGTATATGCTGAAAATTCCAGCTTTCATATTCCTCTTCACTCTAGAAAAACCATTGCTTCAAATTTAAACTGTTGTTAACACCTAGATGAAAACACAATTCCGTTAATTTTGCAAGCACTATAACGTAGTAGCAAAAACTGCACTTGGAGTACATCGTGTTTTTAAAAAAAAAAAAAAAAAAAAAAAAAAAACGATAGATGGATAGGGAGTGTAAACTACGGAAAATGATAGTTTAAGGGGCGCTTTGCAACCTGAAGAAAGTTGAGGGTGTATCTTACAATTAAACCTGAAAAAATAATTTCTGGGTTAAAGCTCTCAAATGCTTCTTCATTAGTGCGTCCTTCTTGAAAATTATCGGCTCAAATGAGGCAAACAGGGAGAGAGTGGGATTTCTGTAAAGGGTGGTTGCCCCCTCTCTGTTTTAAGCCCATGATTTCAAACGCAAGCAAACCAACAGCCCTTTGATTTAGCAGACTGCAGAAATAATTCTTGTACTTCCATTGAGGTTTCTGACAATTTCACTTTGCACCCCCCTCATGCTGAACGCTTACTACCTCCTCCTGCTGTGGATCATGCTAAATGGCTGTCCTGTATTTACCATGAAAAGAGGCTGTGATGATTTTATTTATTCGCAGAGCCCAGTTGGGTCAGGCAATTGAGCAAAATTGACCCGTATCTTGGCGGGGCAACCCCGGATGGCAGAATTGTTGGTACCAACCCTGACATGCAACCGGTGCTGCAGCCATGGCGGTGTCAAAGTCTTTTGCCTGACCTTGAAATTGGTAATATCTGAGCCTCCTCTGGATTTGTTTGCTGCCTTTTAGACCTTGTTAAACGCTTTGAGTTTGGATATTGTATAGGGTTCGTGTCTTTCTTGGATTCCCTGTTTTTTTTTTTTTTTTTAAAAAAAAAAGAGTATGTAAATGTGGGACGTTGCCCCTCTCTGAATGCCAATGATTTTACCCTTCACCACCTGTTAAAGATGGAAGAAAAAACCACTGCCTTTACGGACTTTGAGGAATGGATCCTGTTCCGCGAAGAGAAACCATTGGGGATGTGATGGTACGGGTTCTTTGATTGTAGATTCTTAGCTTAGCTGAGTCGCCTCCCCAGTCCAAGTTTAGAAACGCAGGTCTTTGCTGCAATGGCGGTAATTAATGGTTTTGAGCTGTTTTTATCTAAGTTCTTGATTAGATGAGGGTAAATCTCTCATCTTTAGCTTTGCCATCGTTGAAATTTCAGCTCTCAGAAGAATGAGCCTGCAGAGATATGGAATTTCTTAAGGGTGCTTGCTCCTCTCTGTTTGGCCTATGATTTCGTTGTTCTAGAACAGCCCTTAAACAGCCTTGTTTTGTTCAGACTACAGTTGTTAGAATCCCAGTCCGGATCTCAGGATCCTACTTTTGGATTGAGAAAATTTGAAATAAAATAATTTGTTTTACAAATTCTGATCACCTTTTTATCTTCCCAATCATCTTTTTGTCTCACATACATTACATCATAAAAAGTGCTGCAGTAATTATTTCAATAAATCATCCAAATAAACTCCTATCCAAACAAACTCGACTAGTCTACAAGACCTATCCAGGTTGTAGATAGGTTCACTATTCTTTTCTATAATAAGCTGTGCACATGCATGTCTTGGATAAATGCTTTTACATTTCATGATGTAATGATGGATTACCATCCTAACCATCAAAGTAGTTGATCCATCTTTTTAATTAGCCAATGCCAAAAGGTAAACTGATGCATTAGGTAGTCGATAAACTTATGACAAAGCTACATTGTGAGTTGAAAATTATAAGCTCAGGTCAAAGGACTTTGACCTTTTTGAATTGATCATATAATTCTTCATTAACCATTAGCCTAAATTGAATTAATAACTTAATTACGTTTTCATAGGATTGAGATCCTTAGGTCCAATTCTATGAACTCAAGAACGATTCTTTCTAGAATCTGATTTTAAAACCCTTGGACCCTACCGGGCACTTGAAGTTGGAAAGCTTTAAAGCAGGGAGTATCTCTGTATGAAAACCTTTCTTCTGTTGTTTTAGTGTCCTTTATGATGATGATAGTGGTGGTGGTGGTGATGATGATGATCAGGTTGATATCGTTGCAATTGGTTCAAAGAAAAGGGAAGGCTGTGATGATGTTTCTTGAGAGCTAGTGGATCAGGCATTGATGTTTATAAGCTGTCCCATATCTTGGCGAGGCAACTAGATGGCACATTTGGGTCGTGATGAATGCTTTCACACCCCCTTTTTGGCTGCAACTGGTAATATGCAGCCATGGCAGTGTCACAACACCAATGCCAGGTCCATTTAGATCTGAGCCTTATTCTCTGGTCAGTTTCAAAAGTTTGCCTTTGATGGTTCAATGATATATATATATATATATATATATATATGGTGAGGATGATGATTGTGATTATGGTGATTTAAACGCAAACGGTTTGATAAAAAATGAAACACTGGTATGATATATTGTGAGATGAACTGAATCGCTTGTGGATGGTACAATCCAGCTTGGAACTTGGCAGGGCAACCTAGACAGCAAATTCGGGTTGTTATGAAATGCTTTTTATGTTCCCTTTTTAGTTGCAACTGGATGTTTTCAGCCATGGTGATTTCGCGACCTCGCTACTATAACCAATCAATTGCGTCCCCTCTTCTTCAATGGTGGAAGAGTTGCAACAACAGGGAAAGAGATTGCTATGCCTTGAGGTGTGGTTGAAAGTAGTTTTACGAGGTGGCTGAATTTCGTTCTGTTGGTTTCCCTAAACTCTTTGGCGGCAACTTCTTTGTGCAATTATCCTGCACCAGTGGTATTCTCACGCTAGGAAGCTTATATATGAGGTGCAACAACACTGAAAGAGATCACCATCCAAGTTCTGGTGAGGTATGATTTGAAGCAGTTGTACGAGGTGTTCGAGTTTTATTCTGTTGGTCTTCTGAACTCTTTTGCAACTTCTGTGGGCAATTACCCTAAACGGGCAGTATTTGCTCATCAAGATTTTTGTCAGTGGAAGGTTCAAGTTGTGCTATACAATAAAATCTTTTGGAAATCAGCAAAGAGCTTTGTGAATGCTTTGCTTTGCTTTTGTCAGGCCAGAAGGCATTATTATAAACAGATAGCTCTTGCATGTCTTGAGCCACTTCTTTAAGGATGTTTTTGTCAGGTCGGAGCTTTGTCAGAATTGTATACGGAATGAAAACTTTTAGTGGCCTTTTATGATTTTCATAAATCTAAGGCAGATTAGTCTCTTTATGGATTTCGGAAGCAAATCAAAATATATTCTGTATATAATGTCTTTCAATTTTCTACTGCACTGAAAAATATCTATCCGAACGTTTTGTTTTACGCCATGTAGCAACACCGCACGTCAAAGATCGAGGATGTTTCTATGTTCAAAGATCAATCTATCCAAACGTTTTCTACTGCAGCAATATGGCTGCACGTCAAACCTTAGATGGTAAAGGAAAGTATTGAAACTCGATTTTGAACAATTATAATTAGCCAGTGTGACTGGTGAGCTGCAAGCCCAAGATCATTCTGCTCTGCAAAATTCGCGAACTTCTGCCCTTTTCTCTTTGGCTGATCATGGAGATGCAACCCGTTAAAAGAGAAGGGTTTTTCGGGGTTAATTATTACCTTCCGTTCTGGAAGAAATGGACGATTCTTGTACCCTATTTGCAATGCTTATCGTACTCTCCACATCATGTGATTGAATGAATATGAGGATAAAAAGCCCGATTGGAATAAACTATCAGGTCCAATTGCGTTGAATCAACATCCGCTCAATTTTGCATGATACAATTAAGACAACGAAACATTTGGCTTCACTTTCACGAGCTAATCAACAGCTTTTTCAAGAATGGAATTAGAACTTTGGCCTTTTGCTAACGTTACTGACACTAAATAATGTAAAACTGTCAAGTATAAATGTTGCAGAAGATTTTTTTTTTTTTTTTTAAATGTCACAAGGAGGGTGAAATGCTAGACTACAGAAAAGGTGTTTTTGGCAAAGAGTCTCCTGACTTGCTTTGATTTGTGTATGCTTGTTTTGATCGAAGCCAAATCCTCAACCACTCTCAGCCTAAGTGTCCTTAATCCCCGGAGTTAAAGCAAGTCATCATTATTGTTCTACAGTTAGATTAATTATTGTAGGACTAAAATGGAGGACGGTCACTACTAGTAAACTGAAGCCTCTTTAAAAAAAAGACAGAAACAGAAGATGTGTAGTACCAAGAACAGTCAAACTCCTTTTTTAACTTTCACCCGTGTGACCAAGGTGTAAAAACTGATCGAAGTGGGGTTAAAAAGTAGAAGGAAATTGCATAAAAGGAAGGCTAGAATCACAAGCAGCAGTGGCAATTATCTTTTTAGCTCGGAGAAAAGACAATGAGGCTCTACAGGGAGATGGGATTTTCTTAAGGGTGGTTGCCCCTCCCTGCTAAGCCTGTGATTTTCTTTTCATCATCCAAAATGATAACCAACAGCCCTTGGATTTTGCTGGTTTCTGAAGCTTAGCAAATATTATACTACCATTGTTTCCATGGAGGATAATACTTTTGACTGCTGGCTGTTCTTTCGTCAAATGATTATCTGCTTCATTCTTGACGTTGTTTCTGTTTGGTTCTTGTTGATTGCAATTATGACTCCTTGTTTTTTTTTCCCAACCACAGAAGAAGTAGAAGAAAGATATTAGTAACAAAAAAAGGGTTGAATTAGAGGCTGTGATGATGATTTCTCTGAGCAAAAGAACTCGGGGCGGTGGGACGAAGTGGGCCGTATCTTGGCTGGGCAACCAGGATGGCAAAACTGGGAAACTCAGAGATGGGATTTCCTTGATAATGCAACCGGTTTTGCAGCCATGGCGGTTCACTCTCTCATTGCCTAATTACCACAGATCTGAGCCTCATTCCTACATCTAATATATGTGAAAATTGTGTGGGTTTGATTCTTGACAGGCAAGAGAACCACACCTCTGATGAATTATGAATATATTTTTGGACTGGGATTTTCCTTCTGTACATCCCCGACTGAGATTTTCTGAGGCATGTATCTGTCAATCTGTCAATGTTCTGAGGCATGTATCTTTCCATTGTGTTCATAAGAAAAAGATACCAAAAAAAAAAAATTATACTTTCTGGTTTTTCACTCTTTTTTTTTTATTTCCCTGTTTCATTTGTTGCTTTTCCACCAACCCAGTAGATTTTAATCCATTTTTAGTGCCCCCAGGTTAATTGAATTAGTATTAGAAGTTAGAACTACAAGACTTTGCATTTTGCGTAAAAAAGACACTTTCACATTCTCCAATAAAAAATATCTTCCCAATGACGCAGTCTGAATCAAGGAGTTCTGGTTTGACTTCAGTTTTTAGGAAATCGGTTAAAGAAATTATATTGTGTACTAGTAATTTCTTTTCTTTTTATTATTTCAATTGTTTTTGCTTTCTTGGGAAACTAATTAGAAAGGGAATATCTACCTAACTTTTTTGCTGACATTTTCTTACAAAAGTAAGAATTTACGTAAATAAATCGATTCTTCACTGTAACTTCAAAAGCCGGCCAATTTTTGAAGTCTATGTTAGGGATTTATCTACCCAAACCCCAACCCCCCAATACCGATGTGGGATAGAAAATCTCACAGAATGCCCCGCTACTAAGAGATAAAGACCCCCCAAACCCCTGAGAATGAGTTTTCTTTCTGACAATATCTACCTAACTGGCTACAGGCAAAAGTTCATTGGCAGAAATAATTTGTCTATTAATGTAAAAAAAAAAACAGAATAGAGTAATTTAAGTGCCGATGGCAACTGGGAAAATTCCAATTACAACAACCATAGAAAATAGCAAAGTAACTACTGTTTATTCCATATAATTGGGATGGGTACGGGTCAGATATTCGTCCCATCTACGATTTGACTGATGCGAACCGAACCATATCTTGCGGGTCAACATTTTCTGATCCTTATGTTCCCTGCATATCAACGATTTATACTAATTTAATTTTATATTTTACACATTCATGTTAAATTTAATAAAGATTTTTTCTCAAAAAAAAGTCTCTCATCAAAAAACAAGCATGCGAAGAGAATATAAGATAAAAGGAAATAATTAAAAGAATTCAAAATCAATAAAAGTTTGAAATAAGTAGCATAGTTTTTAAAATATATGTTTCACATTAATTAAGCTATTTTCTATAAAATATAAGATTTTGACATCTACAAATGAATCTTATAAATAAACTATAGTCTCTCCTATTTATAATGTAATTTGTTCATGAAATTACTTATTAAGCTCTAAATTATTATTTTATAGTAGATGTATAAAAATAAAAATATATATATGCGGGGCGGGTTGGGTATTCGCAGGTTTTTAGTTATGTGACTCTATTCCTTCCCGCATCTTAACGGATTTTTTTTTTTACCCGATCAAATAACATAAATCGGGTGTTCTAATTTTCGGATCAGATCGAATCAGATATGACGGGGTTTCCGGGTTAGCGAATAATTTTGTCCATCTCCACTTGTAAATAGGTGGTGCCAAACCCCAAACAAAAAAATAATCAGAAGACCATATCGGACTCGGTGTGTCAAATACTACTGTAAACTAAACAAGAAAGAGAGAGATATATATCTCGTGGACGTTGCCTTATGTGACAATATAATTAAGCTAAAGTAAATTGATGCAAATACTCAATTTAACGTGGCTGTACTATATGACGGACCAAACAATTAAAAATAAAACTATTGTTAGGAAAGTCACTGTTTAGAAAAACATTTTTGGAACATTTCATATAATTTAGCTAACAGGTGCCTAATAGACACTCAATATTCATTAAGAGAGGATGAGGTGTTAATTTTTTTAAAAGGTGTAGTTAATTAAAAAATGTACCCCAATTCAGGGGTGTCATAAATATGAGTGTGCATAAATATGAGTATTTTAACAAGTGCCCATTATATATTTGTTAGAAAAATCCTATTTCATAAAACACATTTTATTATTTCTAAAATCGCAATCCAGGAAGAGACTTTTATGTTATTATTATACATATAAAACGAGATGCAACATGTCTAATACATTCTTATGATGTGTATTGTATGCATATAATCTTTGAAATTAGAATTTGATATAGAGTTTAGCCAATGGATATTCACTGTACACCAATTAAGAGAGATCTCACGTGTTAATTTTTTTTTATAAGAATAAAGTTAATTCAGAAAAGAATGGGTAAATGTAAATAAATCACCAGTCTTTGGGGCTGGTGGCCACCACCTAGTTTGATGGGATGGAATTCTTGCCTCCTATCAAAATGCTACGTTTAAGTGATTTGCTTCAAAAAAATTCAGGCGAGTGTGTTGTGCACTCATTTAGTCCGGTAGTTGGACCTTCTTAAGTCCGTTCCCTCCCTTAATGTAAAATAGATTAGCTTATACAATAGTTGTCGTTAAAAAAAAAAAAGAAAAAGGGGTAAATGTAAATAAATTGTTAAGTCTTCACCCGATGTTCACCTGATAAATAAATATGTCAGTCTTCACAATTACCAAGATTGAAAAGGACATAACTCAATGAATAGCAGTTGACTAATCCACCAACAATGGTCAGGAAAAGGGCTTGGAACCCCAAGAGCCAAGATCAATTAGCTAACTTGCTTTAGCTGATCAGCTCAGAGAACCATAATAAAGAAAATGAGGCTGTACAGAGAGATGGGATTTTCTTAAAGGGTGGTTGCCCCTCTCTGTTTAGCCGATGATTTTCTTAGTGATCTTCAATCTCCACAACGAACCCAAAAGAAAGAAAAAAAAAAATTTCCAACAGCCCTTTCGTCTTTCTGAAACCCTGAGGATGATGTATCTTCCATGGATTGCAGAGGAGTACAGTCTTCTGGGTTTCAACCAGAACGTATGTTTTCTGTTCCTGTACGTATCTTAATTTGGTCCTCCTGCATTCAGTGTATACTAAACTTCCAGGTTAAACAACAACCATTTTGGATCTCGAATTTTGAGGCTGTGACGATGATTTGATTTCTCTGAGCAAATAAACGTTAGGCATCTGAGGTAAAAGTGGGCCGTATCTTGGTTGGGCAACCCGGATGGCAGCGGTCGGAAATCTCATTGCGGGTTTTTCCTGATCTGCATCTGCAACCGGTTTTTTTGCAGCCATGGCGGTTCACGTCTCTTACTGCTTGACTTGTGGATTTCTGATCTGAGCCTCACATATATATATATATATTAATATATACATACATACATATATCTGTATATATATATTTATATATATGGTCTTA